GTATAATGTATTGATGGTTTAGGGTATACAATCAACAACATATACTAACTTAATATTGTCGATTGAGGGTTAGGCTAAGTGTATAGGATATATGTTATTGAGTAAGTTATGATTGAAGTCCCAATAATTTTACTAGATTTGATAGTTAATCTTTAATGGTTCAATTTTTCAGGATAATTCGAACAATTTTACAAATAACTCGTTTGGCAATAGTTTACTGAAGTTATTTGGGCAATGAGTTATTTCGAAATAACTTCTTTTATCACTCTGTTTTTGCCTAATACCACATGCCAAATATCACATTTGCATGGTTATACTAAATGAGATACTTTAATCCAATTACACTACTGAAATAATACTAAAATATTAAATAAATAATTAATGGTATCTTTTGGTTGTAAATATTGATATCACCATTACTATTAGCTAGTGTACTTTACCAATTACGATTAATTACATAACAAGTTTGCAAGTCATACAAATTGATTTAACATTTTGACTAGTTTTTTTCCAAAAAATTAAGTATATATATATGAGGTAGAAATAAATTGGTTAAAATAAATATATTGTTTTCAAATAAAGTTTTTCATTCTCAACCTAAGTAAAATCATTCACATTTAGGTAAGAAAGTTCAAAATCTGAAATTCACTTAAAATTATGGTTTTTAATTACAAAAATTATGACATGAATTTCTTTAACCAAATTAAAAAAAAAAAGTAAATATAAAATCAACACAATGCTAATATTTATAATAAATAATAACTAAGACCTTTTGTCTGTAATAATAAACTTTATTATTGGAGAAGATGACAGGGTAAGAACTAAGAAGTAATTTTGGGCGGTTGTGATGAAATTTTGGGCGCCCAATTTTTTGCAAGCAGAGGGAAGGGTTTTGTGTTTTTGATGTAATTGTAGTGGGCGGGTGATGATGAAATTTTGGGCGGCCCAATTTTAGTTGTGGTGGGAAGGCGAGATTTCAAATTTCGATTGTGGTGATTTTGACTAGTTTTTCTTAATTAAGTATATATACAAGGTAGAAAGAAATTGATTAAAAACTGTGAAAAATATTTTAAATTAGTGTAATAAAATGTGTAAGTTGGTAACGAGTATGTAACTCGATGCGTTGACCCGAACAACCCGCAACCCAATCCGCCCGCAACCCGCACGGTCCGAAACCCGATGAACCCGAACCCGATTTGCCCGTAACCCAATTGAACCCGAACCGATCAACCCGCAACCTCACTAACCCGCAACCCGATTAAACCGGAACCCGATTGAACCCGAACCGACGAACCCGCAACCCGATGAACCCGCAACCCGACTAACCCGCAGCCCGATTGAACCCAGCCCGAACCCGCCCGATTGACACCTATAATCACCATCACCCTCACTTTCATCCTCATATAATCCTTGTATTTTGTTGAGCAATGATATTAGTATTCTGAGGATCACTTGAAGTATTTCAACACCAACCATATTTCCTTGATCGACATCATCTTGCAAATGCAACTAATTGACTGATGCATTCCTTCTTGATCGAAAGAAGGTCGAGGATGGTGACACTAAAGGTTTGGGAGAAAAATAAAAGCTTGCAAGGGGATGGGGATTGGAACCTACGACCTATGAGCTCAAACTATCATCATTTCAAGTGTTCAACCAATAAAATAAAATATATTTGATGTTATTAATCACAACAAAATATATATATCAATCACCATAACTAAGATTTAATCATGTAACCTAGGAGCTCAAACTGTAAACATTTCAATTGTTTAACCAATAGAATAAAATTTCTTTTATGCAAGTAATTACAACAAAATTAATAATCATGTTATAAAAAAATGTACAACACATAACATTCTATTTTTATTTAATGGTTGACTTCTGTACATTACACAACAAAAACTATCATAGATAATTTTTTTTTCTATTTTTGTAGCAATGATAGAAATCATTAACAACTACAAATAATATATTTTTAATTTTAAGTTTATAATATGTTTTAAAATTATTTGAAATAATTAAAAATATAAAAATCATGAATTTAGTTCGTATAGTACACAATTCTAAAATTTTACATAATTTGACATGTGATTTTCTTTTTAAAATTGAAAAAATGAAAAAACAAAGAATAACATTCTTTTGTATTCTAGAACACGAAGAATTTAAAATTGTGTTTGTATGAGCTACTATAAATACGTTAACCAATACAATCATGTTGCAATTTGTTAGTTTAGAGCTACTATAAATATTCGAACTAATACACTCTTATTCCAATGTATCAGAAAAATAACAATTTTTGTGTGCACTTACTAAATTATTAATAGATAATAGCATGAAGAAAAAATGATGAATTGCTAAGTCAAAAACATAGTCATAATAATTTATTCACATGTTACTATACTTTAAGATGAATGAAATATATCAACATAGTTTAGACATATGCTACAATGATACACGACAGTTTCATGTATTTAGGAATATCACCAATGGTCACTGAAATTATTTTGCATTTTCAAAATTGAATTATGTTTATATGTCTTAAATATACCCATGACCAATTGGTAAAAGAAGTTACAAGAAAAATAATGTACATAAGGACCATCACTCAGTCTCTTGATAACTCACTGTATAAACATGTATGCATAAAGTATCATATCATACTGGCACTACCATGTAACCTTGTCCCAACATAGGAAAACATCACACCTTCTCATGGTAAATCATTGTATAAAACAACATAGAAAAGCATCACATAACTATCATCATCAACATGCACATTTCGTACATCACATCATAGGAAGGCATCACTTAACCACATCATAAGTAATATTTATACAAGGATTCAATCACATGCATGGTTAGATTGATCCAGTGCTTTTTACTTATTAATTTCTCAAGTCATACACTCCTTGGGTAGTACAATAGATGTCTTGTATACCACCGCAGATCGTACCTAGACTGGTGTCCTGTAAATTCACTGCGGGATCATACACTGACCTATGTCCTGTCCACCAGTGCGGGATGTAGCTGGACCGGTGTCTTGTAAAACCAACGCAGGATCATACCCTGTTCGATGTCCTGTAAATTCATCTACTATACTGATTGCAAACAAGACGCATTTACGTTTGTATTAAGTCATCACATAATTTCAGTTACAGTCACATATTTAATATTGATTGCTAATATGAAGCGAAGACAAAGTGTCTCTATAACTAACATTTTGTTTTTATATCATTTATAAAATGTTGAAGGTAATATAGAAGCAAAGCATAATAGTTTTGTTATACTTTAATGTAATGGTGGCAAAGGCTAGCGTATATTCGAGGTGTAATATACACATTCTTTCACACCTATTAGTTGTACTTTAATATATTTTGACAAATAAGAATCGTTGGTTATTATTTTTGCATTAACTGAGCCGTAAGATTTGGATTAGAGAATTAGACATTAGGGTTCACCCATTAGAGGCTATGGTATAATATCATGTCTAAGATAAGATGAGAATTGTTATAAAATTAATGGTCTATATAGCAAAACTGGATATGAGTATGGTAAGGTGGCGTACGCTAGGTTAAACCATGTACAACTTTATGAAGTTGAAAATTGTTGGTCAATCAAAGATAAGATGGTCATGAATACTATTTTCCAAGCGGCGATGAAGCTACAACATTGTTTGACATTAATGTTGATCATGATTAAAACCTGGATTAGTAGGAATCTGATACCATTGGAAATGAAATATAATAGAAGGAAAAGTACAAACAAATGACACTCGTCGTCCATCGGGCAGGCACAAAACTAGTTTCATGAGTAAAGAGGATATTGTCACTAATCAGCCTATCCTTAATGAAAGCAGGCTGATTAGGACTCATAAGGTTGGGGTGGTTGGGGTGGGGGTTTATTGTACTAATTCTATTAGCAAGGATCTTTTAAACACATTTATATACACATAACAACATGATATGGGCCTAAAATTAGTCATTGCATCAACATTAGGAACTTTAGGTATTAGGGTTAGAATGATGGAGTTTACCTCTGCTAGCATATGGCATTTCTTGGAGAATTCTTGCGCCCCATTTATTACTTCATAGTTCATACCCAACCACTTCCCAATTATCTTTGAAGAAATCATCAGGTTCAAGTGACTTCTTTCTTTTCTTAGCAAAAATAGCCTTCCTGACTTCCTTGGAACAAACTAGGGAACATAGCTCGCTTGGAGTGTCTGGTAAATGGTAAACCGGTAGTGATATTAGTAGTGGAACAGGAACCCTAGTAACAACTTGATTATCTTCCTCACCAAGCAGTTGTTTGTAAAACTCACTGCATCATAATACATATCCTCCATGGTGCTAAGTACTCTCCCATCTCATGCTATCAACTGAGTAACTTCATTTCCATGGTGATGAATTGATGATGTGAAATTTCTGTTCTCGAAATATATCGAAAATGAATATAATTTTGTATGTTACAACTTAATTCATTTCGTTTGTGTAAAAAAAAATCTAAATTAAAACGAAAAGATAAAATTCTATCGATTTACCCCCAACGGACGATCGTAGCTTCGATTTTCTGCCAGAAGCGAGAACAGTCCTCTCAGAAATAGGGATGGCAATGGGTCGGGTTGGTTCGGGTTTTGCCAAACCCAAACCAATGGGTTTATCCGTGAAAAAACCCGGGGTAAAACCCACTAGGTTTGAAAAACTCAAACCCAACCCGCTGGGTATCCCCGGGTTCATGGGTACCCACGGGTTTTTGTTGTAAAAAATTCACAATAACAAGTTCCTATCAAAACTAACGTCAAATATCAATCTCTCAATACAAATTAGCCATATATAAAACATCATTCTAGAAAATTCAAGCAAATCACAAATTAACTATACAAATTGTTCAACACCAATCTAGAAAACTCAAGAAAATTGAAGCAAATTACAAATTATCCATAAATAACATGATTAATTGAAAGCTTCTACCTTTCAATTAAGTTTTTCAATCTCCACTCGATAACATCAAATTCATTCTACACAACTAGAAAGAAAAAATTAGACATGTCTCCACAAACATAAATAAGATTAGTTGTTATGTACTCGGCGTGACTAATTTTGGATATCCGTTATGTCACTTGGCGGTTGAGCACCAGGTGTTTGATCTTTTGCCGCTCAGGACAGTCTTTTCTATAACTAGCTCCTGAAGAAAGAAGCAACTGCCTCAAATATCCAGCTTGCAATGTGGGTATTGGAATCTCTTCGGTCTGGTAAGAGTCAAGCATCATACTGAATTCGTTGAATCGCTCATGCATGTGTATCTGTATCATGGTAAGAGTTTAACATTGCTAACTAGACATTAAATTGTCTGAGCTTCAATTTTGTGCAGTGAACTTCTGAGGCCTTACACTGGATGCAGCCATTTCGATCTCCTGAGATTATTTCGGTTCAAAATGAGTGGCTTTACCAATAGACTCAGGCTGCAAAAACTGTCCCGGAAACTTCAGGTACTTCGTTTCCATATCTCCTGCTATACTTTGTAGACTATATCTCGTTAAGTAAGGACATTTCTACAACTGGATGAACCCTTTTGGATGCATTGCCCTATTACATGGTCTAAATACTAATGTCTTGAGAAAGAGGGAGTTTAATTTGAAGAAAGTAACAATATACTCTTATGATGATGTGACTTAAAGATTGTAGTCTTGTGATCTCATCCAACTTGAACTGAATTAAAACACTGGTCAAAAGCCAAAAAAGGGAAAATCCATCTTAGCCTTCGTTTTGTTGAGACCAGTGAAACTATCTAAGTACTAAGTTTTATACGGATTCAAGCTCTACAGAGATAGCAAAGCTCTTCCTTGGACTCTTCTCTTTCAGCACCAAGCTGATCACTATATGTTTGATCCACGAATGACTCTTCTTGATCAAGTTGCGAGATCCTCAACCCATTAAGCTCCAAAGCCACCTCTCTCATCGTAGGCCTTTTCTTCCCATTCAATCTCAAACACCTCATACCCAGTTCTGCTATGACTTCCACATCTTCTTCCCTGGCTTCTCCACTGACCACAGGGTCCAAAATTTCGGCCAGGCCTTCAAAGGCTTACAATGAATCCAGATCTGGTGCTGACATTATTTCGGTTCAAAATGAGTGGCTTTCCCTACTATTTCGGGCCACAAAAGCTGTCCCGGACAGGGCCGGCCAAGAGGGTGTGCTGGCCCGCCCTCCGGCACAGGGCCTCAGAATATTAGGGGTCTCTACTTAGATTCGTTAGTTACCGATCGTATATTGTAAGTTGTATTTTTAGTGTATGATTGATTGATTATGAGTATGAATGTATGATGATGTGTTTAATAGATAATTTTAGCTATAATAACAATTGAAAAGGATCTCATGGAGAATACGAAAATCTGAAAAATAATAGATAATTTTAATTTAAACAATATAGAAAGATATTACATTTTGAATAATGTTATTATAATCATTTTAGTTTTATTATAGTTAAAGGCCGATTTGGACCACGTCTAGATTTTGAAATAGGGCCTCCACGATCTAGTAGACAACCCTGCACCCACCTCTCGATCAATTTAGACTATTTTCATTTCTCCATTCAATTTTTGCGCTATATCCATTTTCTCTTCCTTCCAGATTTACTTTCCACCCTACTAGGGATGGGAATTCGGTCTTGGTTTCTTGATCAAACTGGAAACGAGATCGTTTATTCCTGATGTAATCTTTTTCTGAACTTAAGTATTTTTTTTATAATTATTTACTAATTTTTAATTTTGATAAATTTATGGGGAAAAAATTAGGTTCACATTTTAAATTTTCGAACAGGGCTGGTCCCGGAAACTGAAGGTACTTTGTTTACATACATCCTGTCTTTGCTATAACTGATATAAAGAAAAAACTAACTGGAAAAGCTATCATAACCTTAGGAATGGTGAAGCTATCTAAGTGGAATGCAAACAAATATGAGAAAACAAATTGAAGTACTAAAGTTTTAGACGGATTCAAGCTCTACAGAGATAGCAAAGCTATCCTCCATGGACTCTTCTCTTTCAGCATCAAGCTGATTACCATATCTTCTATCCACAAAAGACTCTTCTTGGTCAAGTTGCGAGATCCTTTGTGAGTTCCTCAACCCATCAAGCTCCATAGCCACCTCACTCATTGTAGGCCTTTTCTTCCCATTCAATCTCAAACACCTCACAGCCAGCTCTGCAATGGCTTCCACATCTTCTTCCCTGGCTTCTCTACTGACCACAGGATCCAAAATGTTGGACAGGCCATCCTGGTTTTCCTTCATTGATGAAATGAAATGCGCGACCAGACTTCTCTCTTCACCTCTGGTGAATGAGATGGGCTTTTGTCCAGTCATAAGCTCTACAAGAACGACCCCAAAGCTGTATACATCGCTCTTATCTGTGAACTGGCTCGTGTGGAAGTACTCTGGATCCAAGTACCCAAATGTGCCTTGTACCTGTTGAGAGGGGGAAAAGTAAGAACGGGAAATATTGGAAATTGATAGCTAGGACAGGTTTCATGTCCATTCCGCGGAGGTATAAATGTTGTAATTGAAAACAATCTATTATTATGTCTGAAGACTAAACAGCACAAACAAACAAACACGATTACGCATCTTAGTCTTAGACAATAGAAATTACCCCGGTGGTAAGATGAGTCTTGTCGTCAGGAACCGATCTAGAAGTGCCAAAATCCGCAACTTTAGCACTCAACTTGGCATCCAACAGTATGTTTGAAGACTTGATGTCGCGATGGAAGATTGGAAATGAAGCTGCAGAGTGCATGTAAGCCACAGCTCCAGCAACTTCCCTTGCAATTCTGAATCGGTCATCCCATGGAAGAGACACAGAATCTTCTTCTCCATCCTGCTTCTGGCCATGGATGTAACTGGAGAGACTACCATTGGGGATAAACTCGTAGACAAGCACTGGGAACTCAGTTTCAAGGCAACCACCTAGAAGTTTGACAATGTGTCTGTGGTTGATCTGGGACAGAATGACAACCTCATTTATGAATTGTTGAATCTGAGTCTTGTCGATAGTTCTTGACCTCTTGACAGCAACTATGGTTCCATCTGGGAGCATTCCTTTGTAGACTGTCCCAAAACCTCCTTGGCCAAGGAACCGGCTATCGTTGTAGTTGTCAGTAGCTCTTTTCAGCTCCTCTTCAGTGAATAGCTTTGCGCTCTCATGACTTCCTGGGTATGAATTGAGCTTCTGTTGTAGCAAGACCCCACCATTTTGCTTGAACATATTTTGTTTGTGGATTTTGTTTCTTTTGTTTTTGAGGTACTGAATAAGGTTGTAGACGATCAGGAATGTAGCCAATAGCCCAATTCCAATCCCAATTCCTGAGAGAGACAGGACAACTTGTCAGAAACTTGATGAATGATATAGAACTTTCAATTAGATCAAGGGCTCTGAATTGCTAACCCTTTTAAATTATAGGTTAATAATCACCTGATCCTCATGGACCATCTGGATTTGAAAAGCCAAAAATGCACTCTAATGCTGCTATTCGGAATTAGGACCAAAATTTACGAGTTGGATCTAAATTTGCCCTTCTTATATCAAACTTTAAGAAGTTCTAACCAACACTAATTACAAGAGATATACAGATTCCTACCTAGTAGTGTAACCAACTTGACGGGGAACTTTTTCTTGTCAGGAATGCAGATTCCAGGATTGACGCTGCAGCCGCAGAAGAAACCGCTGGGATTCGCTTCACAACTCTTGCTATCAAGAGGCACCAAAAGCTGCCCAAATGGGAAGATGAGAGTATTGTTCCCCAAATTATTAGCCTGCATGATCGTGGCAGTATCTACCCCAAAGCGTTTACCGATCAACCAAATCGAATCACCCCACGTCACCATGTACCCCAACAAGGACACCACACCAGCGGCAGCCTGTTCCTTGCTTGGACAAGCACACCTCAACGGAACATTCAGCTCCGAACCAACATCAAGCCGGTCAAACTCGTAGTAATTCTGCCCTGCCAGGGCATGACAAGTCGTCAGGCCCTGGAAGGTCTTGTTGGCAATGGTGAGGTAACTCTCGTTCGGAGTCCTTACAGTGTAAGGAATGTTGTGCTGATAAATGCTGCCTGAACAGGAACAAGACACGGGGACTATGATCCAAGTCCCAGCGGGGATCTTGGCCGAGGTGGATGAGATGTTGTTTATGGAAGCCACGGTGGAAGGTTCCGACCCCAGGAGGAGGGCGATCGAGAGCGCGGTCTCGTAGTAAGGCGGGGTGGACTGGAAAGTTGTGAAGTACTGGCACTGACCAGTCCTGATTCCATTGCAGCTGTACCCCTTGGCTATCGAAGGCGAGGAGTCGCCAGAATTGCAGTTGAGCTGAGTGTTGTTGACGTAGTCTTGCTGGGCAGTAATGGAAGGGAGTCCATTGAGAAAAGTCAGGAAGAAGATCGTTATTGCTGGTAGTATGTGGGTATAGTGGAAGGAAGAGGTCTCCATGGTTGTTGGTTTTGAGATGATTTTTGGGCAAGATTCTGTGTTGCAGCAGCATTATATGGCTTTTGAATAGGTTGAGCATTGTGAAATAAGTAGGAGTATCGTTTACACATTCCTTTGAATGTTCTTCGTTAAGGAAGTTTCAGAAAACGTTGTAGATGCCATCTTGACTGTCTAGTCAGTGATTGTTGGAAGATTGTGAAAGTTATTATGTTGTTCAGAGTCGAGAGAGCAAAGCAAGTTTGACGTATTTAAGTTTGCTTTTGCCTTTGCCTGTGGCTGTGGCTGTGTGCTTGCAGCAAATCATTCTGGCTTTTCTAGCTTTGCTTGATTGGTTGGTGTTATTTGACCACATTTATGAGAAGAATAGAGTTGGTTATGTATCATTTTACTTCTTTAAATCGGTCTACTTTAGCATAGATTATTGTAAATCTAGGTAAATACTCAAGATTTTTCGCCCCGAATATAATAAGTATATTTATCTTTCTTTTTTTAGTTTGTACACAAAAAACAATATCATTAATCGCCTTATTATGTTCAAACAAGAAGTGCTTCTTGTTTCTTCTTTTTGATCCTATTGAGGTTCATGTCGCTCTGATGAAATTTTTCCTTAGTTTTCTGTAGTATTTTAAGTTGTTAATGGTAAAAAAAAAAATCATTAGGAAAATTAGAAGCTAAACCAGTAAATTCATAACTCCCAAGGGTAAATGAACGAACCATTCTGTTTAAAATGCAACCAAACGCCGTCGTTTCGGCATACTAGACTACTAATTTCAAATTTTCAATCCCTAAAAGGTCGATTCCATCGCCAATCAAAAGGGGGCAAAAAACGATCCCGCCGCTCCATTGCCGCCGGCGCGAAGCTCCTTTCCGACTTCCGCCAGCAAGCCGCCACCAGTTCATCAATTCCACCCCAGACCCGGAAAACTTTTGAAGACCAATGGGAAACAAAATTTAGCCTTCTGGGGATTTTTACGCTCTTTACCCGTTAGTGCTTCAGCTGCGGGCCAGTCAAAAGCGAGGTAAGTTTCCTCGTCTCTGGTGTTCTTTGTGTAATTGATGGTTGATTCCGAATTTTGATCCAACGTTTCCCTTGGGCGCGCTTTGTCTATCTGCAATTGGGTTTCTGCACTGTTTACAGGAACACCATTCCTCTTTCGCTTATCTTGGCTGTTTTTTCGCATGTATGCGGTTCATCTTGCCTAACTGGAGAAATTCACAGCCAAGTTCATTGCTTTCTCTTCGGAGCAGCAGCTTTACGTGCTTCTTTTTTCGTACGTGGAATTGGCTGAAATGGTGAATCTGAATGGAGCGTCCTGACTGGAATGGGAAAGGTTGATGATTTGCGCACTGCGTTCTTAAGCCATGATATGGTGAACTATCGTGTATTTGGGATGGTTTCAGTTCTTGCTCGTGCTGGCAGATTCTAAACTTTTACGAACAAATTAGAGTATGTTCACTGCTTCTTGGTGCGTTCACCTGCTCAAGCGCACGCGAACCGTCTCTCTGAACCTTAATAGTTCGCACTGTTTCTCAACTCAAACATTATCCACTCAATGCCAACTGTCTTCAGCCCTCCCTTATCTCAAGCTTCTCAACTCGAAGCTCTCTGGCTTCATGAGAGGTGGCCTGGTCGAGGAAGCAGAGAATTTGTTCGACGAAATGCCTGATCGAAATGTTGTGACTTGGAACACCATGATAAACGGCTATTTCAAGAATGGACAGAAGGAAAAAGCCTTCGGTTTGTTGGGTTCCATTCCCAATCCTGATATCTATACATACAACACAATGATCTCCGGGCTGGTCCAGAGCGGTGATCTGTTTGGTGCTAGGAAGGTCTTCGATAAGATGGACTCTAGAGATGTAGTTACCTGGAACTCCATCATTGCCGGTTATGTTCACAAAGGAATGGTTGACGAGGCGATGCAATTGTTTCATGAAATGCCTGGGATGAGAGGGAGAGACACAGTGTCTTGGATAGTTATGGTTTCTGGCTTGGCTAAGGAAGGGCGTCTTGTTGAAGCTCATGAGTTGTACGAGCAGATGCCGCTCAAAGACTCTCATGCTTCCAATTCCATGATTGCTGCATATATCAGAATCGGGGAGCTGGGCCGGGCAGAAAACTTGTTTCACAAGGCAGAACAAAAAGACTATGATTCTTGGAGGCAATTGATAAATGGGTTAGTCACTTTTGGAAGACTCCGTGATGCTCTTAGCCTCTATTTGGAAGCACCTGAGAAATGTCACACTACGTGGAACTTGCTGCTGCTGAAATTAATGGAAAATGGAGCACCTAAACCAGTTCATGCCCTCCTCGAAAAGCTTCCATATGGCGACATTGTGTCATGGACTAACATAATCGTCGGATACTTCAGGGCAGGTGAAGTAGGAGCTGCAGTTAGCCTGTTTTACTCGATGCGTAGTCTAGATGTAACGTTATGCAATGTGATGATATGTGGATTAGGAGAAAATGATCTTAAGGAAGAAGGCGTCAAATTGTTTATGATGATGAAAGAATCAGAGTTATCACCTGATAAGGCTACTTTCACTAGCATCTTGACAATTTGTTCAGAGTTACCAGCCTTATGCCTAGGCGAACAAGTATGTGCACAGAGTATCAAGACGGCACTAAATCACACTATCGAGGTATGCAATGCAATGATCACTATGTATGCCAGATGTGGGAATATGACCTCTGCTTTGCGTTGCTTTTCCTCCATGCCTACCCATAACGTCATTTCTTGGAACTCGATCATCTCTGGATTTTCCCACCATGGTCTTGGACCACAAGCCCTTGAGATGTTCGAAGAAATGAGATTTAGCGATGTGAAGCCTAATGAGTTAACCTTTATTGCCGTTCTGTCTGCTTGTAGCCATGCAGGATTGGTGGAAAAAGGTAAATACTACTTCGATTATATGAAAGACGAGTGCTTTCTGCAGCCAACAGCCGGACATTACACTTGTATCGTGGATCTATTTGGAAGGTTTGGGCTGATTGATGAAGCTATGAGTTTTATAGACCAAATGAGAGCTGATGGGCTCGAAGTTCCCGTTAGTGTCTGGGGAGCTATACTTGGAGCTTGTAGAGTTCACAGAAATGTTGAAGTTGGTGCAGTTGCTGCTGAGAATGTGTTGGCGATTGAACCAAATAGGTCTGGCACGTACATGATTTTGGCAGAGATATATGCTAGCGTTGGAAGGTTGAACGAGGTGGAGAGAGTTTTGACCCGAATGAAGAAAAATGGAGTCAAGAAACAACCTGGGTGTAGTTGGATTGAGATGAACGACGGTGGAAGTGTTTTTCTTTCTGGAGATAAGTCGCACCTTGAGTTTGATAGGATCGTTGAACCCTTGGAGGTATAACACGTGGACGTGGAGCTGACGAGTGTAGCTAGCTCTGATCAAAATCTTGTTGGCACTCTGGGTAATTTGTTCATGCTTGTTCAAGCCCTACATTGGATTTATTGTTCCGACTGGCAGAGGTGCAACAGCAAAGTATGATGCAAGTCACTGCAAATTGGGATTATACGAATGCAAATTTGTTCAACCTCGAAAGTCGAAAAATCATAAATCCTTGATATAGATTGAAGCTTTTCCCTCTGCCTTTCTTTGGTCATATAGCCATACAGACTTGATGAACTACTTTATCTATGAAGCCGAAAAGGTACAGTTGCAGCCATTCCTGACATATCAACTCCTTGTTTTATGTTTATCTTTATCAACCACCATTGATGTTTGCTGAAGCTTGATGCTTGATTGAACAACTTTATATTCATTGAAGCCCGAGGAGCTGCTGAGTTAGTCATGGTTTGTTTTTCAGATCAAGCTTGGAAAACCTGCATTAACAAATGTCAGCTCCTCCAGAAGCTAGTTAACAAATTTGGACCTTTTTGCTGGTTGGCTTCTCATGACTTTCATGTAATTCTTTCAACAAATATCAGATACTGAATCTTGCTTGTACAGATTGCTAAGCATGAGCAACCATTCGATCTAGACTGTGACCCAAATCAGTCTAAAACGACCGAGATTGAACCGAATCATTGTACAGATTCAATTCCCTTCAATACCTCAAAAGATTTTACATTTGTGAACAAAGAAATAAAGATGAATCGCTAGTTATAGTTTCCAAAAAGAACCCAATATTTGTAGTCTCAGGCATTTTTGTATTGAATTTATGTTCCCACAAGGGTGTATTCAACTCTTAGGATTCACAAAAATCCTTCAATCAATACTCACAACCCTCTCCCAAGCTAACAATTAAATTAAAGAATTAACTACCCAGAAAAGAAAAAGAAACGACCAATGTCTTCTTGCCCTACAAATATCTACACCCCCCAAAACCCTAAATGTCTACATACCAAAAATTCCCATTCGCAACAATCTTCTACACACTGTGGCATGGTAACATCCAGTCACCATTGTTGTGGTTCTTTATTCAGTCACAGTTCAACCCACAGACCTCCAACACAGGACCGTCTCTTGACACAAATGGGTTGACTCTCATCCAAAGCAAGGTCAATATCGACGACAGGAGAATCGTCAATCGACCACACCAGAATGATCGTCGGCATCCTGTCCTGCTTCCCTAGCAACCCCTTAAGGAAAGGGTAAAGATGGGACGATCACCCATATAGCGAAGAACAGCCTGCCGAACAGTGGACCCCATGAGTCGTAGCCATTGTTGATTGCATCAGAGATCCCGACCACGACTCCAACGATGTTCATAATCAACAGTGTCGTTGGAGGGATGAGGAGGGAAGTCCACTTGAAGATATAGAGGTCCACCCCACCTGAATAGCGTTTTACGAAGACTTCTTGGTAATCAACTCTGCAGGGATTAGATAAATACTGAGAAACATGAACAGAAATCATGACCAAGTGTAGTACAGAAATAGATTAAAAGAATCCCATTACCATTCTGTCCTTCAATATTTTCAAGAGCATGGACTTGATTCGACGATTCCCTGCCCTTTGATTTCTTATTGTTCTTCTTGGCACTGGATTTCGTGTTCTTTCTCGGACCACAGCACAGGCAGCACCATCTAGGCCAGCAGTTGCAGGTCTTCCCTGGAGGCTTCTTCTTGACGGGTGCATCATAACCGTAAAGAGCTTGCCTCCGAAAGACACAGCCAATACCGACGTAAATTGGTCCTTGTAAACCATCCAGGCCTTTCATGTTGATCTGTTTCAGATTTGAGAGTCAGCTTCTTCGGCTGTGGTACTTGATATGACAAGAATTAAGCAAAGAAGAAGAAAGACAATGCTTTCAAGCGATACATACATCAAAAAAGACGACATTCCTATTAGAGTATCTATCGTGTCGATCAATCCCATCGAATCTCTGAGGGAACTGCACGTAGCAGACTTTCTTCCCTGAAGTTGGGTCTATCATGAAACACATGGCTTCTCTAAGAGCCTTGCTGTTATTGATGTAATGATCACAATCGACGTTGAGCATGTAAGGAGCGTTTGACAGCACTGCTGAAACTCGTATCTACATCAATCACAATGAATAATGATTCAGATATCATTTGATTCAAAGGTGTAACAAAACACCAATCCACACAAGTTTGAGATTTTACCAGTGCATTCATAGCCCCGGCCTTTTTGTGATGGTCAAACCCTGGTCTCTTCTCACGAGAAACGTAAACTAAACGAGGCAACTCATCTCCTTCAACGTCACGGACACCACTCTGTCCAAGGAATACCTGTAATGGCAAAACATCATTTCAGATACGAAGTAAAATGGGTGGTTCCAAAGTAATCTCGACTACCAAGCATGTCAGTTCAAAAACAAGTTCATATTATTCAATGATTTTTAACAAACACATATACACTACGCTGGCTCGCACTGTCCTATACGCTCGAAAAAAATTTGGCCACCTCGATTCTCCTCCTAAAGCCTGCACTGTCTCTTTTTATGTTATCTATGATGCTTCCGTCATGTTAGAGCTTCTAAATTGAGGAGCAAAGATAGCGAGTGAGTTATCGAGGCCGTGCTTACCAAGCATGGATAGACATCACTAGTAATGAATAGGAAAGAAACTTCCAACGGAGAGGCTAAAAGTGAATAAGCCAATGTAGGGACCAAATACCAGACGATAGCCTCTCTGAAGCTATAACTAATCTGGAATGCTCCAGTTCGAGAATGAAAATGCAGATTTTACTTGTAAAAATAAGAAAGAAAAAAACTGTAACTATGAAGGAACGGCAACAAGATCAGAGAACTTCAAAGACCAATATGAAATATGATATCCACATGAAAAAGTTCTCAGATAAAAAACAATCTCTTCTTCAAGAAGCAAGAAGCTTTTTTTCCTGAACACGAAAACTTGGACTCAAAATGAGTATCTGTAAACAGGACAGCCATTGGCTTGTAGCAAAGGAGACCCCATTGCGCGACTTCGCAAAAATGCTATTAACAAAATGCGCGGGAGGGGCTTATCAATTCCTCTGCCACGGAAATCCGTTGATATAGCACCTTTTGAAACCCTTTTTCTCGTTTGGTTCCTTGGAACTCAGAGCTTGGATGAACCAAGGGGCTATTTGGTGCATGAAGATGAGAAAAGAAAAAAAAATAGATTTTCTCAAGAGCAAGCCAAAGTAGAGGACCGAATAAGGATGCTAGATGTCAGGTTTTCATTTAGCTATTGGCTCGGGCCAAAATAAAAAATCAACTCACCTGAATCATGCCAGGATGATCCCGCACATTGTTGCCAGGCCATGGAGTTCCATCTTGCATTGTCCAACCATCTTCCGGAACCTTTTGTGCTGTCGAAACCAATCCATTGATCCTAACTTTAAACTCTTTGTAATCCCTCTGCATTTTCCAGCAAAGGGAGTAGAAAGTGTTATAACCCATGAGACTTGCACACTACATTTGATCATACATAGCTGAAAGGAAAAAGTAACACTAAGTAACCTTCATAGCACGTCATTCCCTAACGAATGAGGGATGGACCTTATTCTTCAAGTAATCAATCTTCTGGGAGAAGTACCACTCAGGTGCTCGGGGCTCTATATTGAACTTCTTACAGAAAGGAACCCATTTCCTAGCGAATTCAGATGTCTCCGAGAGAGCTTCAAAGGTGAGCATAGCGGCACCATCGTCAGAGACATAACAAGAGACCTTATCAACAGGGTAGTCCACAGCAAGAATAGAGAGAACGGTATTCGCAGTTATTAATGGGGGTTCTTTCATGGGGTCCATCGTGCTAACAAATACATCTATGCTAGCTAGCTCTGATGGTTTGCCTTCTTTTTCATACCTGGCAAAGAATGAAATGGTGAAGTCAACATCTTTCAAGAAGAAATGTGAAAGTAGGAGGAGATAATAGCAGTTCCAAGCTACCTTAGTGACAGTCGATCGAGGTATGTTTCTCGTTCTATGGGGTACATTTTTGGGAACTGGTCAAGAATCCATGATAAGGCAAACCATATTTCACATATGACCGATGTTAGCCACAATCCAAATGCATCTTTGACGGGGTGAAGAATTCTGTAGTGGAAGAACAGCCCCACGATCACGAGACGGATGATAATCACAAGTCTATATGGGTTTATCTTGCTTGAAGGAACAGGTAACTTCCTCGAAAGCGGCTGCCTGCCCTCGTCCATCCTGACAATATATACCAAGAAAACTGATCATTAACCAAATCAATACCTAACACTCCTTCTCCCTAGACCAAGACCGGTCTAAACGCCAATCTAGTCTCTCAAATTGCTTACGAACCACATTAAGCACTAAATTTGGTATCAAGACAGTTAAAACACAAAACTAGAGCCAAAACTCAACCAAAGCACTTTTGCTTCCTCTTTTAGCTTTTGTTGTTATGTTTCCGATGTGGTGACACATGAACATAATAAGAACCAGAAGAAGGAAACTAGCTAATGCCATCATATAATCCTTCCGACCTGAGTAAGAATTTGCTCGTAGGTAATGCAGTGAAAGAAACTCACATGGGCAAATCAGGGTCATCAAGTTCATCACTATTGAAGTTTTCCACCAACATTTCCTCCCCCATGCTTGACCACCTGAAGTCTGTCGCTTTGCCTTCTCTTCCACTCTTCCATTCTATCCTTCCACGCGACACTTCCATAGCCATATACAGCTATGTCCTTCTGTGGAACCATAGGTCTGGGTTGCACTGCATGCCAAATGAAAAAAGTTACAGTAACTCTATAGACATGGGGAAAAAACATGAAACTCAGCGCAGCAGCTAGCCAAGGGCATTATGGCGCCACTTACGTGGTGTTGATGGATCTGGAAAAGGCATCGGATGAACTCTATTTCCATGACTCGACCGAGGGGAAACAATAAGAGCATGATCATCAGGAGTGATATAAACATCCTGCAAACAAAATAGGAAAAAAGTGAGCTCATTATAGCAGACCAATTAGTGACTAAAGACAAGAGTTGTGAATCCAGAAATTACCTCATTGCGATAGGTGAGCAGAGGAATTGTAGAGTCTAGGGGTGAAGCATCGAGTTCTGATTGTGCAGAAACTCCAGAGGCATCGTTAAGGTGGGACCCACGACCAGTATTGAGTCTTGCAGCAAACATTGCTTCTGCAACTTGTTCTGGACCCCAACCGTCAAAGCCCCCATAATCAAATTCGTGCTCCAGATCATCGACACCATCTTCTTCCTCGTCACCATCGACCCTAGGACTACCTGCAATGTTGCATCACACTATGAGAAAACCGAAATTCTAATTTTCCAGATAGAATTGTGGAAAGAAGATAAGAGAGATGACCTTTGAGACGCTTATATCTGGTTTTACACTGAGGACAAGCCTGGTTGCCCTCTCGTCTCTCGTACTCGTAACAATGTCTGCACACGGGAAAAGCACATTCGTTGCATGCAACGAATATCTCTCCGTCCACTGTGATCTCGATCTCATCACCACATATCTGGCACACTTGGCCACTCAATTCTTGCACTGATCGAATCTGTATAATGTCCGGAACCAATTGAACTTTCATCAGTAATATATTGGGAACAAGAGAATAGTTAATGAACTAAGACAAACCAGTTCAGTTGGAACTAGACTATATCCAAAGTGAGAACCAAAGGTGTTCTACAATATGTTCGAGTCACCAAGCTCTAGACAAAACAAAACCGCAATTCAGTTACTTAGAATACAACCAAGCAAGAAGCATAAACACACTGTGGTACGCGTGATGCTCAATTGAAGGGGGGGAACTGCACTCGAGAACTTTCTCAAACGGGATGCGGAAAACCCAAGTGCATTGCCATTTTCACTCAGAATAGACGCAACACCTACTTAGTTATTCCCTTCTGATGTTGAAGGTTCAACTCAAATCAAAAGTCAACAGTACTAATACCCAAAACCAGAATGCAAGTGGCCACTTTCACAAACTTATACTAACTTGACACAAACCAACCATTGAGTCTGAAAATGCAGCAAAAGCGTAGTCCAGTCAAAATAGTCAGTCTTGTTCTCAACCTAACACCACCAAATCAGTAGAATCTATCAACATTCTAACAACCCAACCAAAGGAAAACAAAAGACAGCCAAAGAAACCAGTAGAGGGCGGAACCAGGTCAAAACGAAGATGAGAACATGGGTCATATTTCTTACTCTTGCAGTCTCATCGGCATTGATGAGAATGAACTCATTCCTGTTGTGAGAACCAGCAATGAGTCTTCCGCCAGTATTCATGGCGTAGAAAACTCAGAAAGAACCCAGAAAAGCCCATTTGCTTCACTTTAATCTCAAAACCACAAGCACCAATCTCCTCCAGCTCCAATGGGTCATTTCAGCTCGTTGTAAAGCTCCAAACTTTGCACCACAAACAAGCAAACCCGCGTAGCAATCAAGAATGAGTACACAAAAGTTGTTCCCTTTTTCCCCCCTCCTTTCTCCTTTTTACAGGCAGCTGGGATAGATTAGTTCACAAGCCAGTTTCCCCCACTTTTATCGGCAGTGGAAAAAAAATGGGGGCAAGGATAGGTCATAGGCGTAATGGAGAAGGAAAACAAAATGGGGGAGAAACGAAAAGAAAGATCGATTCAGCGAGGCACAACCCAACCCAACAAAGTTTATGCCTTTTGCACTGTGATGCAAAGCAATGAAGTAGTAATGGTGGTTGGTGGGAGAATACACATCATTTGGGATAGTGAGAGAGGGAGAGAGAGAGAGTCAAATGAGGTATGGAGAGATAGAGACAGGAAGAAACAAACAACAAAACAACAAATTACATCCCACAGAAGAAGAAGAGAAAGGGAAAAGGAAACAACTTTTTCTTTATCACTCTGTTTTTTGATCGCTCGCCAAATGGAGGGAAATGAAGAAAAGATGGAGGGGGAAATGAAAATTTGAGGGGTGGAGGTGGGACCCAGGTGAAGAAGACGGTGGCGGTGCTGATCTGTCGTGTCTGCCGCCGCGCCCCGCCGGCGGGTGAGCGGCGGAGGGTGATTCTAATTCGTTGTGGTAGTAGTAAATAACAAGTGCTTCTGGGTTTTTTGTTTTGATTTTGATTGATGGCTACTGCTGCCAACTAGGGTTTCACTTTCTAGAGAGTAGAGAGGGAAAGGAAACCGCGTGTGAAGAGAGAGAGAGATTCGGACAGACAAGAAACAAAACAGAGTCATAGATTAGAGAGAGAGAGAGAGAGAGAGGGCAATAGGACGATGATCTAAAGGATGCCGTGTTGGCAAAGAGAGATCCATATTCTGTGGTCGGATGTCATTAGTGGGGGGAAAAAAAAGGAAAAGAAAACGAGTTTCTGTAACTTTTTTCTTCCTCTATTGTAAGGAAAAGAAATTGTTTTCTCAATTGATTTTTCGTATCTGTTTTTTTGGTTTATCTGTATGTGATCGTGTCTGATCGAGATGCAATTACAAGTTAATGAAATATTGTTCATTGTTATAGATGTTTCACTCGAGTTGGCCAACTTGATCGAGCAACAATGACGACGGATTATCGTTCCAATCGAAATAATATGAAAAATTAAGAAGTAATTTTTCGTTTTGGATTGAAGAAATATACAATAATAAAATAAACAAACATTTGGCTTAATAGTTTATCTTGTCAAACAGTTTGTTCCTTCACAAACTGTAACTCATATCCAAGAAAAACCCTCATTATCGTGATGTCAATATGCTTACTGCTCGTGAAACTTCTTTTGATTAGATAGTTACTGGTGGATTATACTGCTTAAATGAGTTTTATTTCGTTCTGTTTTGATCACTCCCATAGGAGTGTTTGATAAAAATGCGGATTTTATTTTTTTGTTTTCAAGTTGAGTGAAGATTAAACCAATCAAGCCTAACAAATGGTATCCAGTAGGTTAGGTATAGGAAATAATATGCATTCTCTCATTGATTACATGATTGCCAAAATCTAAATAATCAATTGGTTAAGGGGAAAAAAGTACACACTATTCTACCTCAGCTGGGCTTTGTCTCGTGAACCCACCCAAATAAAGAATAAGAATAGAAACCCCCTCATGTGACTTGGTATGATTAAGACAAGCCTAACAACAACATCACTTGCCAAATGAAATGAAAACGAATCTAACATAATAAATCAATTAATAGAAACCAACATATGGGTTTGTCTGAGGGTTTTGGCTCTAATTAACTACTCGAGTTGTTAGGCGAAAAATCAAAGAATGAATCATGTATTGTTTTCCTATCTATACACACTTTCAAGTAAAAAATCAGTCAATTAATTTTAAGTTTTCACGAGTTCACCTTACCAAATATTTAATTCAACATTTGATATTGGAAGTTCTTAGGATCAAAGAAGACCAGTCAACTGAAAACTTTGATCTCATGTAAGAAAATAGTCAATACAAATACTTCAAGTTATTGAAAAAAAAATCTTATACAAAAATATATGTATATTTCTCCAGGGCCAACCAAAATGGGGTCTGTCGGGAGGCCCTCCGACATAGGGTCGCCGAATATTAGGGAGCTTCTACTGTAGGTTTGTTAGTTGTACAATCTTATATTATATGATAAACTCATGGTGTTTGATTTATTGATTATGGTTATGAAGATGTGTTTGTTAATTATTATTTAATACTAGTTCTAGTCATTTAACAATATTCTCAACGAGGCATGTATATTCATTGTTAAAGTCATATTTCTGTTCTAAAGGCTCTATTTTTGGTGTAAAATGACACAAAAAAATCTTTAATGAATTATCAATGATTATGATTGAAAATGATTTATTACAGAATGCAAAAATTGAAAAAAAAAATAGATAATTTAATTTCAAATTATTGTATAAATAAAGGTACTATGATCATTTTTATTTTATAATAATTAGATCTCAATTCCAGAACAAGAACTTCACAATTCTTGAACCGCCATGTGCTTCTCAAATACATTTTTCTACTCGACAATAGTGTCCTCGTTATTTTCTCAATCTTACCTTAGCATTTACTTTTCGTAAAAATCTCTATCATCTTCAATTCTTTGAACCAAACACACATACAATCAATACACGACGTCCATTAAAGAAACCATGAATTTCAAAATCCATTACCCTTATGTTTGTTTAACATTTAAATAGTTCATTTTCTATCTCACTAATCACTGTTCTTAAATAAAGATTTTTCCACAAACGATGATGACATGTTTTTCATAATTTGGAGATGCACAAAAGGCAGATGTTAGGCAAAGATTCATCATTTGGTTGAAATGGTCTTTTTTTAAGCTTTGTCATGTTGGGTGAAGATTAAACAATCCAATCCTGACAAATGTAATCTATTAGGTTAAGTGGTGGAGTTTTTTTTTTTTTTTTTTGTTATAAATATTGGAGGGTTAGTGGTGGTTGATTTCACATAGCTACACACTTAGGATTAGGTATTGGAAATAATATCCAATCTCTCGTTGATTTCATGATTACCATAATATTAATAATCAATTAGTTAGGAAGAAGAAAAAAAGTACACACCTGAACTGACCTTTGTTTCGTGAACCCACTTAATTAAAGAATAAGAAACCCCCTCATGTGACTTCGTGTCATCTTAGCATTGCACATGAATACAAGGCATGATTAGGACAAGCCTAACAAAAATATCACTTGCTTAATGCAACGAAAACGAATCTAACACTATAAATAAATTAATAGGAGTAAAGCATAAGGCTTTGTCAAGGGTTTCGATTGCTTTTAATAATTTGAGTTGTCGAAGGATTGTATCATATTTTTATAAGATTGAGATAGGTTTATTTTTGCTTTTAGGTGATATTTAATGGATTCGAATTTGTGACTTCCAAGTTCATCAAGCTCTTGACCAACAAAAATCAGTTGATTGATTAAGTTCCACGAGTTCACCTTACAAAATGTTTAATTTAACTGTTGATAGTGGAGGTCATTATGATTCAAACATAATACCAATCAATTAAAAACTTTGATCTTATGTAAAAAAACTAGTCAAACCAAATAATTTCAGTCACAAGATAAAAAATCTTATATTGTTTACTAGCGAAAAATAGATGTACTTGAATACATTTTTCTACTAGACAATATTATCCTTATTATTTTTTTCATAATCATTATTCTATCTTATCATTTACGTTTTCTTAAAATATGTATCGTCTCAAATTGAACCGATCACACCCACAATTGATACACGACACGCTTGAACATAATCATGCATTACCTTATGTTTGTTTAACATTTGAATAGTTCATTTTCTATGACACTATTCTTAAATTAAGATTTTGTGCCAAAGATGATACATGTTTTTCATCATTTGGAGATACATAATAGGCAGATGTTAGGCAAAGATTCATTGGTTGGGGTCATGAACCTTTGCTTGTATATTAATGGATGCTCAAAACTCAGTTTAGTAGCACCGACCTTAACACGTGGCTATATCCCATTAGGTTCTTTTGAATCACCTTTTTACAGAAGATTAATGCAACTTATTTTGATCATCAATCACCATGCTTTAGGGTGATCAATGTAAAATAGCATCTAAACCGTAGCTAATACATGCGATTATGTGAAAAGTTTAGGCTCTACAGTTTCAATCCGAACTTCATTGAAAGAGTAAAACTTCCTTAATACAGACAAGTTAACTCCTTGGAGGGTCCTCACTTTCAAGTAGTACTGACGAGTAACTTAAAAGAAAGGAACCAAGCATATATATATAAGTGAAGAAAGGAAGTTTCTTTTCACTCAAGTTACACTTCCACTGTCCAACACAAAGCACTTGATTCGTCTACAAGTCTTCATCACTTTCTCCATCACTTCCATTGAAGCTCAAGTGATTCATGTTCTTCTCAAGTGGTGGGAGCCCATCATCATCATCATCATCCTCATCATCTTCCTCGTCGCCGTCGTCGTCTTCCCGGTGTCCTTTGCTTGATCCTGCTGCTCCTGTGGGTTCGTAAGAGAGTACAAAGTCAGTGCTCACTCGTCATCATCATGATATTAATTTGCTGCTTTTATCGAACTAAGCCAGGGTTTTCTTAACCAGATTGTTGCTTTCATCAATCTTATATACCATGTAGTAGGATGATTCATCATAGTAGATAAACGAAGTACCTTCAACTTCTGGGACAGCTTTGGGAACCCGAGTCTGTTCGGAAAGCCACTCATTTTGAACGGAAATCATTTCAGCACCAGTTGAGCAACCAGAGTAAGCCTTCAGAAGCTCACTGCACAAAGTTGCAGTATTTAATACTATTAGCAGTAGAAGCATTCCATTTCATCTAAACGAAACGTATATATCGGATTAACCAGTCCTGTAAAGGAGAACACTAATAACCAATATTAAGGTACCTGTTGAGAGAAAGAAAAGCATGACCCCATTTGAACTTGCCCAGCAACAAGTGTCCTGATTCCATTTCCCCACTGGCAAGATCAACGAGAGCAGTGTGAACAAACAGGAAAAAAAATAGAATATTTTATTGCACCTTGGATCAGATCATCAGCCAGCACAGGAACACACTATAAACACACGCAAGCTAAGATAAGTAAGGGAAACTCATATCATAGAAGCTACAAATTTTGAAGTTGCTGGCACTTGGCATTGATTGTTTTGTATCCCTTAAAGAGTAGATCAGAAATGATAATACGAAACCATGCATGCCTTACCATATTATTAAAGCTGCAGCTAGTGCTTCTACACAAGATAGTTGACAAGGTCGTCCATAATTTACTGGATTTGCTGCAACTAGCCATGGCACTGTATGATCACAAATGTCTACAATTAAGATATAATCCAGGGGTGTGGTTTCAAATGAAAAATATAATGCCACGGCAAAGATTGAGCCTATACACGTATACATATACTTTTGGAAGATGAAAGGAGACAAACAAGTTCCTTACCACAACCATATATACCATATGGAGTAAAGCCAACAAAATGCTGGAACGAGTATCCAACTATCCATCTCATGGAAAATACAACACAAATATGTAAATATATAGAGAATGGTGCACCTACACAAGCGAGGAGCAGGGCATCGCAGTTTCACGAAGGGTACATCACTCAAACGTGCCCAAGAGCAATCCACAACAGCCAGTCCTTTCCTCTTAATTAACTCAAGGTCTTCCTTAGATACACACTGAGTCCCAACAGGACTGCAGGGGAAAAAACATAAACAAGAGATTGAATAACCACATTCTGAGTAACTATGCAAAAAAAATCATCACAGTTTGTTAAAGAGTAACTGCAGAATGGCACAATCAATAAATTCCCACGAAAGTCAACCAGAATCTCAAAGCAACCAATACAGATATCCTCAGCTGCATGGTGTAAACTACATCTCCGAAAAAAGTTAATGTGGAAGTAATTCCCAGGCCTCGAAGTTGAAAACTATAACAACTATATCAGAAGCAACACAATTCGTCATTATTACCTCAGAGCCACGCCGCCGAAACCACTGTTCACACGTAGCTCCTGCATCAGGTTGTCCAAAAGCAAGTGTTAACAGCATTTGAAATCCACTTGCAAGATGCACACTTTCATCGAGCTCGTTAGACTATAATACAGTTTAACATATAGCAGATACACTATCCAAACAAAAGAACGAAATCGAAATGGTAAAAAGGAGTGAAGTAGATACTCTCTTTCAAAAAGCCAAATCTTGCAAGCTTGCGCCCTGTGCACCTTTTAGCGTCACATTGACCAAAATCCTACAGAACGTAAACCCACCAAACAAACCACACAAGTGTTACCAATCAAACATTGCAAGCCAATATGAAAACCGAAACTAAAGCACGTAATTGGAGAAGATGTTGCGTACCCACATTGCAAGTTGGACTGTGGGAGCCGCTGCTTCTTCTTCAGGAGCTGCACACAGTGAAACAAGGTCATTCTTAGCGGCAATACATCAAACACCTGGTACTCAACCGTCCAGTGACCATAAACAGTAGAACAAAAATCAGTCACGCAGAGTAGTATCTAGTATGTACTACCTTGATCGTGGGGAAGAGACTCATCTTCCCTGCAACGAATGAACAAAACCCAGTGAGCAATGGAGCAAAAAGGAAGAGGGAAACTAATCGGAAAAGGGGCTTTCTTTGAAACTTCACCTATCGGGCTGGATGTTGGTTCTGCGGGACTCCACTCGATGATCTGAATAGTTGGTTTTGAAACGCCTCGGCTTATTGTGACCCATGCTTGATCGGAGAAAAAGGAATCGAATCGGGGAAGAAAGAAACGAGTTGGCGGCTGGAGCTTCTTGTTACAGCGCTCGATGTGGCGGTTCTGAAAGCTAAGGGCATATTTTCTGGCGGGTACTTGGGCTGCGGTCATGGTCCATGGATATGAGGTAAATTTGTCCTATGATCACCAAATTCTTCTTTTCATACGTTTGGATTCATTTACTTTGTTACATCGTCACAAGTTGATTGAATTGACGAAAATTATGATAGTAATCGTTTTATCGTTTCAAATTTTTTTATCTTCTATAATTTCAAAAATTATTTCAATACTAATAAAATTTATTAAAGTTACATTCTCTTCACTCATGAACTACTACTCTTTTGTTATCTGAACAAAAAAGACAGTTTTATACTAATCGAAAGACAAAGAAAGAGGATAACTAGAACAAACATTATATGAAATTTTAAGAATATAAAAGAATTAGCAACATAAACAAGAAGTTGAGGAACTACACATTTTCCTCCTCTTTATTGTACCTATACTATATAGGTATAAAGAATTCCAATATGTAGCTAATCCACATAATTACCACTAACTATTTGAACACATAAAAATGGGACTTTTATTACCACAAAGAATCTGAATTAGTTTGATTAACACAAATCTAAGTATCTTAATCCGCTCTAGCTCAATGCAACTCAAAGTTCTTGGAACAGGAAGATGAGCAACCATCCACAATCTTTTCTGCCCTTTTTTCTGCTTCACCTTCACTCATGATCGCAAGAGCTGCCAAACCAATAAGTAAAAATCAATCAAAAACTAATATTATTGTCAAAACTTTATCCACTAACAACAATAGCAACATTCGTTAATCATTACCTGACAGATCATGAGTAGTGAGAGTAGCGGCAACACAACCCAAATTGCAGAACTTAAGGTTGATGTTTCCGCTCTTCGAACTCAGGGTGCCGGTTTCAATAGCAGGAGGATCCGTGAGAAAACAATTGCTACCGCACCTAAAAGTGCAGGCAATATCGAAAATACAAGTCCTCAAACATCTCACGAAGCATTGCTGGTAGCTTTGCACTTGATGGTTCCACCATTGCTCTCCCATCACCAACATTATCACCAAAAACATGGACTTGTAGCTCATTGTCACTCTTCCACTCTCCATGTTTTGTACTTCTTTTTCTATGCTATTTTCTCCTTTGCTAAATGTTGTTGTTGTAAACTTTTTGTTGGTGTGTACATCTTGCAATGAGAGGGAGAGTATATATACCCACTTTGTAACGTGTTGTCATGATTGTCACGCCGGTGGCATGGTAAACTTTTTGTTGGTGTGTACATCTTGCAATGAGAGGGAGAGTATATATACCCACTTTGTAACGTGTTGTCATGATTGTCACGCCGGTGGCATGCCACCGGGTTGAACCTGGTTCAACCTGTGCCGGTTATGAAACCGACATGACACCACCGGTAAATCGATTTAAGCATTCTAAGTAAAATTATATCATTTTATGAGTTTAATTAATAAAAAAATTAATTTATTATTCATTTTATGAATGTAATAGTTAAAAGTTGATGATATTTGTTGGATTATAACTAAATTGTCCACAAATATGTTTTATATATGATTAAATACATGAGATATTAATTGTTTTCACATTTTTTTAAACTGGCATAAACCGGCACAAACTGGTTATACCACCGGTTGTACCATTCCATTTGCCAAACCGGTACAACGGTATAAACCGGTTTGACAACCTTGCGTGTTGTATTTAGTGCATGAATTTAAATGGTCATATGATTTGTGGGACTTAAAGACAAATTAAAAGAAAAAAAAGAGGCAGATATAGGGAAATAAGATTACTGTTTTATTCTGTTCCTCATCAGAATATTTAGTAATAAGTATACCAATTTAGGATCTCTTAAGATTTTTCACATGTTGATGTTACTACAAGAGCTTATTGTTTGGGATCTTGGAATATTTTCTACCACAGATGGTAACATTTATAAATTCCACTCGGCTGGTTTTGTCTATCCTAAAGTACTAGGACATTTGCTACACATAATTTGAAGTTTGATTTGTAATTTACTGACGTGGTTGTAAAAATTGGCTACAAACCGTTTTGGTAAGACTGATATCAGTAAATGTATCATGCACGCATTCGTATATATAGAACTTGAGGTTTATAATTTATATTGACATGTTAATCAATCATTTGGATACAATATCCTATATACGATTACTCGAGGTTTTGATGTAATTTTTATTTTATTTTTATAAGGACGACGATTGTTAGCCTAAAGAATTAATCTAATGTGTAATGATGTTGAAATACAGTGATCAACCGAACTATTTTTTTTTTTTTTTTGTGTGGAATCAACTGAACTATTAAGTAGGTCTTTTAATATATTGTACCAAATAATTATTCATGGTTTATTGACTCGATCAATTGCAACGAGCATCGATTTTATATAACTTGTTATACCAACAATCATCTCTCAACCCTTCTCCGTGAATATCAATAAAACTATCTTGACACGACTAATGAATATCCAAAATGCTTCTGCTAGCCTCAACAATTAGTGTATAAGATTGCCGCAATACCCCATCAACAAAGTTACACCTAGAATCGAGTCGCTGTAATTTTTTTCGCTAATAATAATCAATAAATAGAAACTTCATCAACTGTGATATTAAAAAAGTTTCAGAAAAGAGGGCTAATGAAGCAAATTACACCAAGTCTTTCCTATAGCTACAAAGAATCCAGATTGAAATTTTACTTAACACACATCAATGTCTCTAGTAATTTCTCAATGCAAAAACTAAAGCTTCTTGGAGCATGTGGATGAGCAACCATTCACCATTCTCTCTGCCACTTCCTCTGCTTCACCTTCACTCATAATCGCCAAAACTGCCAACAAACCATAACAACTGAATCAGTTTAATTCATTACTTTATCAAAAATACCTCAATAACAAAGGTCGTCAAAAGTTGATCACCCTAACATAAAAAAAACAATGAAACCTGTGATTACCCGACGGATCGCGAGCAGTGAGAGCAGTAGCAAGGCATCCCAGATTGCAGAACTTAACGTTGTTGTTGTCGTTGTTCTTATGATCGGTATGAATAGGGTCTGTGAGAAAACAGTTAGTGCCGCACCTGAACGTGCAGGCAACATCGAAAATGCAGGTCCTGAGGCATCTCACCTTTTCCTTTCCTCCCACCAATGCTAACCATCTATCTTTCGCAGATAAAAGTATCACCCTGCTCCTTCAGTAAGGTTTGCATGTGGGAGAACGAAGCCTGGTGAACTAATTCGACTCGCGTGCAGGCTCGACTATCCTTCTAAAGATCCTTCCTTTAGGTGGAAAATGGTCAGAGATGGCTTTCTGGTATAGATGGCATCAAGCAAAGGTTGCTTCTATGCTCCGATTTTGTCCTTCAGGTCTTCCATACACGGATTGTGCTGTCCACGGATGCAGTCACCATGCAACTGTCCTTTGGATGGTAACTCACACTTGTTACCTGCCCCAAACAAAAAGAACGAACCATTGCGAAATGTAAAACACTCTAGGATCATAGTTGGGACTTGCACGCAGCGCCTGGACAAAATTGGGTCAGCACTAGACCAATTGATAGACTTGGACTGCATTGAAGTATATTTTGATTCTCTATTCAAGACTTTCCAACTCCATGGTTTCTCTTAAATGTAAAGGAAAAGACGAAATTTGAAACAAAACGAATCAAATGTATTTTCTGCTCTGATTCTAGTCCTCGTCTTCCCTTTTATTTACAACCCGTTTCGATTTTGGATCGGATTGGACTATGACCACCCTATTATGCATAGACTCCCACGTTTTCACCATACACTATCAGGAAAATGGAGAAAGCGAAATAGCAATGTCCATAATATCAAACAGTAAGGCCTAACCTCTCATAAATGCTATTCAACACGAAGTCAACAACACCCCAGAGTACTTGCAAGTTGCAATTGGAGATGAAAAGGTCCAGTTTTTTAACTATTCAAGGACACTTTCTTGAAATGTCAGTTGCAGTGAAGTCAAATAGAATTAAGCAGAATAATCATACCACTGAAGCATGTGCTCTGAACCTTGAAACCACAGTCGCATCCACAAGATCCCAGAAATATATATACCCATCCTCCGATCCACCAGTTATGTGGGCATCCGTATTTGTAAGGCAGCAGTCTAACTTGAAAGACTACACTCAAAGAACAGAGAGAAATCAGCATAAATTCCTAAAGTTCGAGTAACAAAGGGCTGAAGCTTAACTTAACACACTTACTCGACAAGTATGCCCTTTATATTCTTGCAAGAGCTCGCCCGTCGTTCTAAAACAACACAAACCAAAGCATAAGAACAAGAAAAAGATCAAAGTGAACCCAAACAAGCACTTTTGGTAACACTTGCCTGTCCAAAAGGCGCAAGGTGGAATCCAAGCAACTAGCTAATATGCAGTTACCATCATTTGACAAAGATATACAGTTAACAGGTTGCCCCAAATTGTCCGAAATTTCTCTACATGACAAAAGAAACTGAATATGGTATTGAGACATTTCATAAGATTCAACAAAAGAAACAAAACTTCAAAATCAGAAATTTCGAGCAATGGAAAATGCAGGTCTTTTTACACTTCTCTCAGCACCACTCACCTCCCAACTCGAATGTCAAACGTTCTAACCGTACCATCGACACTCCCAGCAATGATCTCGGTTTTCGTCAAGCAAACCGACATAACACTATCGGCGAACGTGTCAATGATCTGCCAAGTGAGAAACAGAAATCAACACGTGCAAATGAACAATGCTGGATGTATAGAACTTGAAAATGGAGAAACAGAAAAATGGACCTGAATCGGCTCAGTATTATGAGACCGGCAATCCCACGTGCGCAAGGATTGATCATATCCAGCTGATACCGCCACAGATGAATACTCACTGAACTTCACAGCATTCACCTAATCGCCCCAAACCCTAAATTTTTGGCAACTAATTCTCATGCTAAGCCAAATTGCAACTCCAATTGATCGCATCGCTCAAATTCGAATACTTCATTACCTCGCTTTCGTGCCCACGGAACTTTCTGATCACTCTACCGGTGGATACATCCCAATAGAACACCTGCCGATCGCCGCCGCAAGAAATCAGCTTGGAATTATCCCTGCCGCGAACAAAATTTCAGCAAGTTAAAGGTACAAATCGAATCAGAATGGAGAGAAATCGGCGAGGGGAGAAGCGTACGGCGTGACGTGAACGTCGCGGACTTCCCGGCCGTGGGATTTGTAGGTCTTGATGTGGATGCCGCGGTGGGGATTCCAGAGGCGGATGGTTCGGTCCTTCCCGCAGCTCAGGCAATAGTTGCCGTCAGCGTTGAACCTCGCGGCCAGAACGGCGCCCTCGTGACCTTTCAGCACGTTCGCTTCCTTCGTCGGTAGATCGGAGGCGCTCATCGTCTTCAAAAAAATTCCCGTCGTCTTTCCTTCTTCTTATTTACTGACCTCTGCCTACAAATCGCCGGCATCTGACTTCTCAGGGGGGAAAAGCTCGTAGCTTACTGCGCGTTGTGAGGCGGGTTTTCAATTTTTGGTTTTTTTTGGCAAAATACAATTTCATAGCCAAAACTTTCACGTTTGTGCCAATAATAGCCACATCTGGCGAAATACCACTTATAGCCACCTTTTGAAAATGTTGTTGGACAAATATAGCATTTTCCGTTAGATACATTGACGATGTTAGTAACACCGTCAAATTAGTAGACGGTTTGCTGATTAGGCGAGAAGAAATCGAACACGTCAGCGCCAACTAAGCAATTATGGACACATCATATTTTAAATTAGGGCAAATACAATATTATATCCATAACTATTATGTATCGGGGATTTATATCCACATCTATCAATATACAAAATATTATCCACAATTATTGTTTCGCGTAATTAAATGGATAGAACCCCGTTATCGTGAGTTTAACTGTAACGGTGCCGGACACGTCAGCCGCCTCGTAGGATTCCACGTAGGATTTCAATTAATTACTAATTTTATTAACTTTCTTGCCCCTTTTCATTTCAGATGTTCCCCCAAAATCCTAGGGTTGGGTTGGCTCACGATAGAGACGAAGTGAGGAAAGGTCGCCGCCACCGTCGTCGCGTCCCCCCGATCACAAACACAGTCTTCTTCGCCGACATCCCGTCCATCTCAGTCAGCAGCTGGTTCAAAACCCTATCCCCTGCCCCGCCGGCGTCCCCCTGACTCCCGCCTCGCTGAACCGCGATGGAATCCAATTCGTCAAAGTACAGCACGCACGGCGCGCTCTGCCGCGCCTTGTCGAACAAATCCCTAACATTCGCCTCGCTCTCGCCGAACCACATCGTCAGCAGCTCCGGTCCTTCTCGAGGTCGACGTCGTCGGAGAGTTTCATGTTCTTGGTGTGGATGCGGAGGATCTCGAGCCGGCCGGTTTCGTCCGGGACGCCGATGTCGATCTCGCGGTCGAACCTGCCGAAGGGGGAGATGCGATTGGTCCCGTATGTCGTTCGAATTGGGGCCGCCGACGATGCAGATTACCGGGAGGTTGCGGGAGGAAGGCACCGGCGACCGGCGATGGCGTTGATGACGTCAAGCCCGCCGACGGTGAACGCGACGACTTCGTGTCTTCGTCGGCGTCTTCGGGTCTTGGCAGAGGAAGGGGTAGATGAGAGAAGGGGTTTAGGATAAGAGTGAGTGAGTGAGTGGATGTGAGAGGAGGGGAGGATATTTGTTTCCTTTATTTTTAAAGTTTTTAAGTATAATGAATTCCACCTGGGATGCCACCTCAGCTTTTTTTGCCAGGTCAGCATTGTAGAAAGACCTTCTAACGGGGTATTAACGGCCAATTAACGATTGGATAATATTTTGTATATTAATAAATGTGGATATAAATCCCCGATACATAATAGTTATGGATATAATATTGTATTTGCCCTTTAAATTAAAAAAATAGAGTCAGAACACTCTCCTCCTCCGTCTCTCTCGTCTAACCACCTTCTACCCCCAACAAAAAAAATCTCTAATCCAATCCAGAAAATCCTTCTCTCTTTGTTTCCTCCTCCACTGCGCCTCTCTTCCTCCTCCTTTCCATCTCCTCTCCCAACCATCTCTTCACCAGCAGCAATGAGTTGTTCTGAGTTTTGCATCTGGAAGGAATGGATGGATTGCGAAGGTCGACGATCGACGACGAGTGAAATTCCCTGAAAAACAGGGTGGTTTCGTTCAAATCGACGAAAACAGAGGGTCGAGGAGGCAAGCTCGCAGGACAAGGCAACAACAACAAAGAAGGGGAATATTAGTCGTTCCCCTTCATAATCCGACCGCTTCTCAACCTCCATCCATCCTCACCCTCAATTGATCTATTCTTCAATTTTTCAAAGGGGACAGATTTGGAGATCTCCCGCGGCATGCTTCCTCCATTCGAAGCTTCATTTGCAGTTCTCGAGTCGATTGTAGCTGGGAATGTCGACTGAGGGAACGCTGGAGAAGATGACATCGAGAAAGCCGGAGGGAGCGCCGTCAATTGCGACTGTGGAATGTTGATCGACTGGTTGTCGGACGCTTTGGGCTGGTCGATTTCAGCCTTGTCTTTGGCTGGGTTTTTTCATCCGAGAACAAGGATAAGAGAGGAGGCTCGAAGGGGCGGAGAAGAGCCTTGTCTTTGGCTGGGTTTTTTTTCATGCCAGAGAAGCCTTCATTTTGGAGGCGGAAGTGGAAGGGTTGGAGGAGGAGAGTTTGAAGGGCGACGATGGGGTTTGGGAGGAGGCTGTCGATTTCAATCTCTTTATTTTGTTTTTGTTTTTTTATGTAATTTAATAAATCCACGTGGATTTTGACAGACAAAATTGGACGGAAGTGCTCACCAGGTCAGCACTTTCGTTTATCCAGTCAGACTAAACGCTAACACCGTTAAAGAATTGGATGGAAGTGGCTATAAGTGGTATTTCTCCAAATTTGGCTATTATTGGCACAAACGCTAAAGTTTTGGCCAATGTAGTCAAAATCCCGATTTTACGATCTTACCTATGGGTTCCGATCCTGATTTTACTGTAAAATCTTTGAACCTTCAAATCCCATAAAATCCCGATTTAAAACTTTAAAATCCAGAAAATCTACGATTTCTACGATTTTGTACGATTTCAAGGTTCATATCAATTGGATCAAAATTAGGCCGGTAAAGTTGGGTTATGCCCATGAATCGAGTCAAATTTACTTTCCCCAACCCAACATAATGAACAACACAACCCCAACCTGATAGTTAACCCTCAATTTATTTTCATTCTCTTCCTCGTATCTTCCTCTTTCGCACGTCGGCGCCCAACTCCTTCCATCAACGATATCTTCCACCCTCCCAATTAGCTTGTAGTTTGTTCCCACCACCCTCACAATAATCCAAATCTCCATTACATTGCAAGCTTTTGTTCATCTCCCAATCCTTCAGCACCACTAACCCGACCTTTTATCAATTAAGAAGGGAATGCATCAATCAATGAGTTATCTTTTCCAGATGATGGTAATCAAGGAAATATGGTTAATGGTGAAAGTACTTCAAGTGATCATAAGAGTAATGATATTAGTCCTTAAACAAATAAAAACGATGAGAGTGAGGGGGAGGTTGAGGATGATGACGATGATGTGTAAGTGATGTTAATGTTGATCCTAACGATCTTATGTGAATTTCTACTCTTAACAATTAATTAACAGTGATATCTATAATGTTTCAGGTTTCTTATTTGTGTGTTTCTATTATGTACAAGAAAAATATATGGATTAGTTGTGTTTGTTTAGCAAACAAACTTATCTTGGAAAGTAATTATGCTTTATGTGGTTGAATGTTATTCAAGAAATGCATTTTTATTACTATCTAGTGTTTTAAGTATTTATTTTAATATGAACCTTAAAATCTTACGATTTTACGATTTTAATCTACGATTTCGATTCTACCTCAGTTTTCGATTTTACTTAAAATCTAGATTTTGACTGCATTGGTTTTGGCTATGTAGGCATATATTTTGCCTACTTTTTTTTTCTTCTTTCGGGTCCACTCAAATATTACGGGCTTGAAATATATATTGGGCCCATTTTGTTCCCTAATATAACATATGCTTGGTGACTTATTCATGTACCGTTGATAAACCACAAAGATGTAATGTTTAGGGCCATGAGTTTAAATATATAGGACGTTAAATAGAAGTTCAAATATATTTCGATTGCGAAATTCGATATTAAATGGGCGAGAGTACTCCAACAACCTCTTTTAGGGAGGAAAATGAAACGATTCATGTTCAATTCTTAAATAGAGGTAACTGATGTGATCAGCCATGACTAGTTCAAAAGATTTTTCTTTAATAATCCAAATACAAAACACATTCAAACCACAACAACCAGCTAAAATGAAAAGCTCTAGTATAGAGAGAGAGTTGGGTCTTGATCACCAGCCAATTCATGTTCAATCCCAGCCAAGATCATTACAAAGCAGTTCTCCGAATGCTAAAATACCTCAAAGCAGCTACATCAAGTGGCCTCTTCTTCTTAGCAACATCTTCCCTTCATCTAAAGGCCTTCAGTGACTCAGACTGGGTAGCTTGCATCGACACACGAAGATCAACAACAAGTTACTGTGTTTACCTTGGTGATTCTCTCATTTCATGGAAGAGTAAGAAGCAGACCACCATCTCTCGGTCTTCTTGTGAAGCAGAATACAAATCCCTTACTCATACCAGCTGAGAACTTCAATGGATTCTTTATCTGTGCATTAACTCGCCGATCAAAGTGCTCCAAGTCTCCACTGGATTCTTTATCTTTATCAAAGTGCTCCAAGTCTCCACTGTGCATTAACTCGCCGATCTCTTCACCAAACCTCTGCCTCCGACGACGTTCAATCATCTCCTCTCCAAACTCGGTGTGCTAAACATCTGCCCACCAGCTTGCCCGGGAGGGGGGGGGGGTATCAGAGAAAAACTCTCGTTTTTCTTCGCCCTCTCTGGAAACAGAATCAACAGAGGAGGAGACAGGGCTCCAATGTTCAAACCTGTCGACCGTTAGAATGGAGACGACGCCGTATCCATCAAATTCAATCCAAGCATCAAACAAGACGACGACGCATCGCACCGGGAGCGTAGTGGTCTCTGGAAAATTACCAATCAAGTCCACAACTTCTTCATTTGCACTTTTTCCCTTTTCAAATTGCACTTTCTTCTGTCCCAAGCTTGTCTTCTTTCCTCGAACTGTAAACCACAAACCCTACATCATATAAGCTGATTGATGAAGTGAAAATGAAAGTAAGCCAAATTTCCCAAAGCAAACCAAGTGTTAGAACAAAAGAGACCTACGGAAGAAAGTGAAGGGAGAGAGGACGCCGGAGGTATCTATGGCAGCCCAGCCAAATGCCTTATGTGGGTGCTCTGTCTCCGGCGATTTCGCCATTTCTGCAGTCGGTGGTGGGTGCCTAGTTGTTTTCTTTCCTTCCTCGAGATATCCGAGATTGGGAATCTGGAAAGAGCGTCGGGTTCGTTGTCTTCTTCTTCTTCTTTCCTGTCCTTCTCCTTCGGTTAAATAGATGGCAGGAAAGGGGAGTTAGTGGTGAGGGCTGTAGAAGAGTGTAAGAGTAGAGTAATCGCCAGTGAAATGTTTTTCTTGCCTTTTTGTCCCCCCCCCCCCCCCCCACTTTTGGCAACTACTTGATTAATTAGCTCTCAATCTTAAGTTGCCTTATTAAAAAATTGACATTTTTGTTTGTGTTCCTACTTGTGAACTGTAAATGAGTAAGAAAAATCTGATAATCATATTTGGTTAGTGAGAAGAACCAGTCTTTTCATCTCTTACGCTGGAAAGTAAGTTTGAAACTTTACGAATATAACTTATATACAACGAGAAGTAGTACGTTGTCGGTGGACAAAATGATGTGCAAGGAACCAATATATCCTAACAATACTATATGGAGTTTCTCCTTCAGAACCCCATCTACTCCAATTTTGCTGCCTCCTGCGCATAGCACGAAGGGATCCTTGAGTAATTTCCATCGCTGGAAGTTTTGTGCGGCAAGAGGATTCAGTTCCATAAATGGACCAGTCCCTATAGCTGTGAGTTTTGTTGCGGCAAGAGATGAGATTTTAGTTACATACCAGGCCCAATGGCCAATGTCCCCCTATTTTTTTCGTTTCTTCTCTTCTGCATTATATATCATCGTTAGTAAATTATGGTACGACTAATTTACGTATAAAATATATACGAGTATTTTATATGATTACTAAAATAATGGTACGTTTAATAGTATGCCAATAGTAATAGAATATATAAAATTAATTATTTATAAAAAAAATATAAACGATTTTAAGTTTATAGTAATTCATTAAATACGTATATTAAACGTGTTATACGAGGTTTATACCTGTTTAGTATGTGAGCCATCAAATGAACGGGAAAAAGTGATTTCACAATAATATGAATACCAAAATTTTAAGTACATCCATATATACGTGTATTAAACGGAGTATTTACTAAGTATGTATATACCCACAAAGTGACCTACTAAAAATGCAAATTAAGGCTCCACCACAAACAACACCACTCGGCCCACTTTAAGGATGAGGAAGCATTCTACAAATATTTTAATCCTGCAAATCCTAACATTAATATAAAGAGGTCTCCATAAAAGATGGTTAATTCTAAATCTTTAGCATTTTGAGTAAATTTAGGAAGGAAATATTTGTCTTTTAATTAATAAAAAAACAACATAACACATTGTTAGTTATACGAACAATGAATTGGTTAGAAAAACTATGTTAGTTGAAACTTGCCAAAGAAAGGTTGAAGAAGACTATGATGAGTAATTTTATAAGAATTATACAACAAAATCAAAGACAATAGTAGTTGAGTAATAATCTACCTCTACGCTTCTATTGTTTTTAACTTCAAGTTCATTCATTAGAGAGAAAACAACGTACCTACGATGTCCTAAAGTTTTTGACAAAAATATATCTCAATTGATCAATCCAACTTTATTATTCTGTATTGCGAGGAAGCTAGATTTTTTGGAATGTCTATTGAGAAACTACTCAAAGACCATGAGAAAATGAGGGAACCTTCTCCTCCTATACAATACATACCGAGAGCATGGAGTTAAATTTTCATATCAAACTCACTGATTACAATATCGTGAACTCCATAAGTGGGTACAAAGTTTTAACTTTTGAAGATAATGAAGGTTGAAGAAGAACAATTTCAGACCAAGCTCATGCATCTACTAGGTAAATTTAAGTTATTGAAAATGGAGTTTTCACATTTCAAAAACATTTACATTAAGTGAAATGCACGAGAAGAAAGAGTATGTTAACAGAAAAGGTAGTGAAGTTAGTGATGGAGATAACGACGTTATTAAGGTAAAGTAAGATATTATAAATGGTGGATATAGAAAATATCTATATGGGAGGAAAGATAGGATGGTTAATATTTATGATTTTTTATATGAGGTAAAAATATACCATCGAGAAAAGATGTTTCACATTTATAAACATTTTATCATTAAAATTTGATTTTTGAATATTAAGTTTTTAGGAATAAGTTATATGCATGAGTTGTGTGTTTACTTTTTCATTAAAACCTTTTTTTCTTGAATGATCAATCAGTAAGTAAGTTGTACAACTTACAATGTATGTTTTTTTATAAATATTTTTGCTAATAGAGTAATTTGGGTTGTCTCATTATACCAAATAAATTATTCGAATTATTACTAATATTGCTTATACTATTGATGTAATTTATTCGACTAACGGGCGGGCCCAACTCTTGTAACTATGATTGCTATGCTAAGTGGGAGATGAGAAGAATGACGGAGATAAAAAAAACAATGAAATTGCGTTGTAGACGAGATAAGAATGTATTGTAGAGAAAATAAGAAATGATTAAAATTGATATGATTGTCAACTCCGATTAAACAACAAGGTCGTTGTAGTATAGTGGTAAGTATTCCCGCCTGTCACGCGGGTGACCCGGGTTCGATCCCCGGCAACGGCGATTTTTTTCCTGCGCTCCCTTTTTTGGCGGCAAAAGAATAGTGGGCCGTGATTAAAGGAAAGCAAAGTTAGAAGGCCTAAGCCCATCAAACATGGCTCTGACACCTAGCTTTGATTGCGTTGGGCCAAAATTGTAGAAGCCCATATTTCTCTCCGCCAACTCCTATGTAAAATGTAAATTTAGTTTAGTTGGCATTTTGTAGCTTTTGTAGAAGCATTCTGTCGGTAGCTTTTAAATAAGTATTTTTAAAAAACATAGGTAAGTGTTTGGCTGTAAAATTATTAAAAGTGCTTTTTAATGTGAGAGATTGTGTAAAATGACTATAAAAGACTTATAATATAAAATAAAAATAAAAATTCTAAACAATAAAAAGTAGTCAAAATGGATCTCGTTAGTTTCTTTTATATTAAATAATACGATTTTTTTTGTAGTTCATATTTTTTTTTATCTATAATGGTATTGATGTTTTTTCGAATTGGTAGCGGTTGTCTAATGGATTGATATTGTTTTGTATATTAATTTTTGCAGTGATATTGGTTCGACTAAATGAAAACAAGTAAAAGATGGAAAAAAGAAGGACGAGAGATATGACTGGAGATTGCGAAAGTGAGAGAAAGAGGGAGAATTTTTTTTTTTTTGAAATTAATATGTTTTATAACTTCCTAAAATGTAATTTATTAAAATAAGAAAATTAATAAATATTTTTTTCCATATCCAATTTGCCCTTAGTAACCATGATGAACCCACCTGCAGGTCCATGCTAGATAGCGACGCGCTCTCCTCCCCCCAAACCCCGTGGCAGTTGAGCTCCATGACCACCCCCAAATAACCAATCGACGCCACCATCACGAGAATACTGATTATCAGCACGCACCGATGTGCGACTCGGTCCGCCATCAGAATTGGGAAGAGAGACACCACAACCCTCAACCCGTCCGGAGTAGTTGAGGATCAGACCGGCGACGATCGTACCGAAAATTGAAGCTCGACCGACGACGTTCACCACCTCGGTATGCTGATGGCTTGTGAGGTCGAAATCCTGGCGTATCGTGGTTGCACTATGTGGGATGGCCACATCTACACATTGTAGCAACATAATTGTCAGAAAAATAGTCAATACTCATCCAAAACATGTTAACGAAGCCAAAAATGAATGAGAACAAGTTACGACGACATACCACATCAGAGTGGGAAAACTGAGAGCAAGGCGACCAACGAAACCAGGACAACGTATTTTGGATGAAACATTGTTGCTCACTATTTTTCTTCTTCTTTACACTCTCGCCCTCCCTCAACCTTCTATCTCAATCTATACAACACTGATGGATTACAATGCTCATCAGGTCTAGGTAATTAATAGGGATAATTCGTCTCAAAATTATTTCCGTATACACTAACAATTTGGGGGAATTGGGAATCATTTAGGAGTGATGAATTCATGAGAGGCTGTGTTTTTCTCTCCTTTCGACGACGAAGGGTGGTCCGCTCCTCCTACTTCTGATTCTAATCCATATTGAGAAAGGATAGACCCTACCAAACTTAATTAGCTAGCCAGAGATTAGCTAGAGTCACTTAAATTCACTGTAATGACATCGCTGATAATACATGACTCGTATACGCCAAAGAGGATAAGAATGTTACAAAATATTTGACTTTACCGAGTTATATAACAATACAAGTTGTGTACTCATACTCTAAGCTGAATCCAGGATGTTCCAGAGCTATACATGTCGTGTACTCATACTCTAAGCTGATTACAAGATGTTCCAGAGCTCTGGAACATCCTGGATTCAGCTTAGAGAACGAGTACCCACGACTTGTATTGTTATATAACTTGGTAAAGTTACATATTACGACTCATGGCTATATTATCATTTATCAGTGCTTCATTACATTATTTTGGTCAGCATTAATAATACGAATTAGTTATAACGGTATTTAAATGATTATATTGGAAGGAGATTGGTTAATCAGATTAAGGTTAAGTTAACCTAAGATGTTAGTGTAACTAATTGAGTTAGAAAGATTGTGTGGGGATTAGTGGGATTGGGCCACTTGGTGGCTTGTGGAGGAGAGGGGGAGAAGATGAGAATTACCTAGAGAAGGGGGTGCAGATTTTTAGCACTTACCCTCCTCTTCCCCTATCTCTCTCGTTCCTCTTCTGAGCCTCTTCTGAGCCTCAATCGATGATTCCTCGTTTTAAGATAGAATTAGGTTGCGATAGCTTCGAAAACCATAAACCTAAAGATTCAATAGCCACCACTCTCCCTTGTACAATAAAATTTTTATTCACTCTATCTTCAATCTCAAGAGGCGTATGTTTCAACCAAAAATTCAGTTTTTAATCCTCCTTCTGCACCTCCATTTATTGAACTCCATTCTATTCGCCATGGATTGATATCGGAGTTGAAATTTTTTACTTGTCCAGTTTAAATCCCCAAGAATAAAATCGCAGTGCCAAGAGACCTGAAGATTGATTTTCAAAGGCGGCCTTGTACTGTGAAGTGAAAGGGCGCAAACTATTGCACGATGGAGGGAATTTCAGAGGAAGCTAGAAAGAGATAAGAACAAAGATAAAAAGTATAAATTTGAATATAAATTGAAAAATGCAAGGACACAACACATAGTAAATAATTAGTTTCTTCCATGTTGGCTAATTACCAATTTACTATTAGTGAAAATTAAAGAGAGAGCAGTGATTTTAGAATTGAGAAACTACATGAAACTCTGCTATGAAAAGTGCAGTATAATTTAAGCACCATAAATATACAACGGTAGACTTAGGGGCTTGCAAATCATGATGAAAAAGTCCTCCGATTTTCAGAGTGTCACTTTGTGTATGTTTTGTATTAAAAAAATACAAAAAGTTTGTTTAGTGTAATTGGTTGTGATTGTCTTCTTTGTTTGAAGAGACCCGAGTTCAAATCTTGATATTGACATTTTTATATGGAATAAATAATTAATTGTAAAGACAAAAATGCCCTTCCTATTTCACTCTCATTGTAGAAAATTTGAAATAGAGAAAAGTAGACAAAACTCTACTATATATATTACTAGCTTATAACCCGTCCCTTTGGCCGGAATGCTCATATTTGATTATTTGTATTTTTATGTTACTTTTAAGTCTATTAACCCGTTTAATCTTATTGATAATCATTCGATCGAGATGATATATACAGAAATAATATATAGGTCGAACATTCGGAGACATATCATAATCATTTAAGAATATAAATTATAAAAATGTATCATTGACCCCATTTTCATAATGCTAATTAAGTCCCTGTTAAAATGCTATTGGTTAGTTATTTTTTACAGTCAAGAAATATAGAGTATAAAAGCTCACTGAAATTCTCATACGACCCATAGATAGTTTGAAACTAAATCTTAAACCTCACAATCCTATATAAAGGGTTCAATGCTCTCCTTTTAGAAACAATATGTCACTAATCAAAAAGAAATGGAGAGTTGTTGATTCAAGTCATCTATATACTAAAAAATTAGCTAAGAGGGGACCATCACAACTTGAGAGCAAATGAAAAAATCAGGGTTATCTCCAATATACGAATAGACTCGATCAAAGTAATAAGGTGCAAAATTAGACACTCCTTATCTATTAGTTCCTGTAGGTTGAATAAAGAAGCAACCTATTTCAAACAATTAATCAATGATTCCTCGTTTTAAGATAGAAATAGGTTGTGACAGTTGCAAAAATCATAAACCTAAAGATCCAATAGCCATCACTCTCCGTTGTACAACCAAATTTCTATCTCAAGAGGCATATATTAAACCAAAAATTCAATTTCTAATCCTCCTTCTACAACTCCAATTATTGATGAACTCCATTCTATTCGCCATGGATTGATATCGGAGTTGAAATCTTCTACTCGCCCAGCTTAAAATCCTCAACAATAAAACCGTAGTGCCAAGAGATACCTGAAGATTGATTTTCAATGTCAGTCTTGTATTGGGAAGTGAAAGGCGCAAACTATTGCACGATGGATGAAATTTCGGAGGAAGTTAGAAAGAGAAAAGAACAAAGATAAAAAAGCACAAAATTTAAATTTAAATTGAAAAATGCAAGGATACAACACGTAGTTACATAATTAGTTTCTTCCATGTTAGCCAATTACCCATTTACCTTTAGCAAAAATTAAGGAGAGAGCGGGTATTTAAAATTGAGAAAATTACATGAAACTCTACCATGAAAATAGAAGTATCAAGCTCGATAAAAATACATACGGTAGACTTAGTGAGCTTGCTAATTATGATGAAAAAATCCTCTGATTTTCATAGATTAACTTTGTCTATGTTTTGTATCAAAAAGGATGCAATAAATTTGTTTACTGTAACTGGTTGTGATTGTTATCCTTGTTTAAAGAGACCCGGGTTCAAATCTTGATATTGCTATTTTTATATGAAATAAATAATAAATGTGTAAAGACAAAAATGACCTTCCTACTTTCACTCTCGTTGAAGGAAATTTGAAATGGAGAAAAGTACACAAAACTCTACCATATATTAATGGAGGATTGGTTTTATTCAAATTGAATAGGATTTGTTGTGTCTAACTTAACAAGTATGATTGTGTAACTTCATTTAATTAGCACCAACGCTCATTTTTTTTTTAAATCAATGGTTTCATTCTCTTAGTACTGCTCATATGATCGGACAATACAAATATAAGATTAACAATGAAGAAGCAAGAACGACTAAGAAAATTATATAGACTTCATCCAAAAAAAACAACGAATAGACTGACAATCAAACAATGTAGTCGGATGTCAGCCAATGTAGCAGACCTGTACCAAACACAGTAGTTCGTATGCAACAGAACTATTGACGAAAGATCCTGTTTTGCAACTAAATAAGCAACAATGTGAGAGTTTCAGAAAGAAAACTGACATGAACGGACGAACAAAACGGGAAAGATCCAAAAAAAAGTTAGACTTCATTTTGAAGAACTGGGATGAAAGAGCACGGATCTAGGTTTGCGATTTAGGGTTTACGATTGATAAGGGAATTGAGGATTTAGATGAGAGAGAACTAGAATTAGGGTTGAGAAGAAGAAGAGAGGTCGGATTCCAGGAAGGATGGTCGACAGCTAGGGGAGAGGGAAGAGGGTTCGACTACGGTGAGAGAGAGATAGCTTAGGGAATAATTATTGTGTTATTGCTTGACCGTAACTTACTCCTAATACAATATATATAGAATCCGACTAATTCTTTATAACTACCCAAATACTTAACCTGACCGAATAAACCCCAATAGTTCTTGAAATAACATCAAATATCCCGAATAACGAATAACAAAAAATAAAGGCCAAATACACTTGTGTAGCCAAAACTTAGACGGTTTTGCCAAATATAGCCACTTTTGGCGAAATACCAAATATAGCCACTTCCGTCCAATTGGTTGACGGTGTTAGTTAATGTGCTGACTGGAGTAACGGAAATACTGACATATCAACCTTTTAGTCAATAAAAATATGAGGTGGAATTAACTAAAAATTAAAACAAAAAATAATTAAATATTTTTTATTTCCTCCCTCCACTCTCGGTTCTTTCCCCTTCCATTCCCCAACCGCCGCTCATCTTTCCTCGCTAGGGTTCCACCGACGTCTCGTCCATCACCAGCTGCTGAAGGTATTCATCGAGCCGGCGTTTTAAAGGAGCCGCCTGCAAAAAAAAAAAAAAAAATCCCTCCGCCAAAAATGCCAATTCAAAATCTCAATTCCAACTCTAGAATCTCCCCCATTTGAATCGATGCCAGTGTTGGTCCTCTCGGATTTCTTTCGGGCCAGCCTCTCCACGACCCGAGGCGGTAGGATCTGCGCAGCCGTCGTCGCGGTCATCGTGTCCTCCGAGTCCTCCTCCGCGGCTTTCGATTCTCGATCTGGTGCTCGTCAATGACGATGCTCTGTTTCGTCTCCTCCAGCACGAAACAGACGGCGAAGCTCGTGTTCCTCGTTCGGTGTCGGCGAAGCTCATGTTCCTCCTCTGCTTCTCTGGTCTCCGCTCCAGTCGACCGGATGGGCTACATCGCTTCTCCTGGGGTCCAAAAAATGGCAAGAGAGAGAGATACACAATGGCGGGTTCTGGGCAATTTCGCCACCGCCGTTGAGTTCGTCACTCTGCGGCATCGCTGTGAAAAATGGGAATCATTTGGCTTCCCAATTTGTTATTCCCCATCTATCTCTATTCTTCCCCATCTATCTCCATTTAGGGGTAAAGGGGCAAAAAGGTTAAAGATGGCGAGCGCCGAGCAGTTATGTGGACGAGGAGATGGAGATGAAGGGAAGAATACAAGGACAAAGGTTGATTATTGTATCTTTATGATTTTTCATTTTTTATTTTCATTTATTTTTAAATTAAAATATGACATGGTATCCATGTGGCAAGTGTTGGTGAGCTGTCGATGTTGTGTCCGGTGAGCTGGCAGTCAGGTAAGCTTTTCGTTAAATTGACTAACGGTGTCACTGACGCCGTTAATTATGTAACAGAAATGGCTATATTTGTCATTAAACTTTCAAAATTCTGGCTATTATTGGTATTTTCCAAAAAATGGCTATTATTATCATAAACGTCAAAATTTTAACTACACAAGTGTATTTGGCCAAAAATAAACCCTAGAAGAACGTATATCTTACATTGGAAGAGACCAATCAAATAGTGTAGTAGGGTATCAACCAATGTAGCACTCTTATACCATGATCTTGATCCTCTGCTTTAGAAATCATCGTGGACATATTCAAATGTGAAAAGAAAGGAATGAACTCGTGCAAAACTAACAAAAAAGGTCCCTCATCGGGAACTATAAGTCTATCACAAGCAATAAAAGTAAACATTTGAGACATCATCAAAATATATAAGGGTCAATTGTATGGTTGGTCACTGAGATTAATGGAGAGTGACTAAATGTGACATGTTTTAGTAATTCGAGTGACATTCATAAAAAAAAGTAATTCGAGTGACCGGAGTTGGACGGAAACTAACGGAAGAGTGACTAAATGTGACCTGTTTCAGTAATTCGAGTGACCAAAATTGATATTAATTTTTTTTAGTGACTAAACAAGACATGATTTAGTAATCTCAGTGACCAAATGTGGCATTTACCCTTTCTTGTATATAATACTTTTCCAAGTGTTTCGTGGCACCCATGTTATATATACTATACTACATACTGTGGTGACAGTTTAGAGTCCGACTCTGGTCGGACATGGTCCAACCAGTCGACCTTTAGAGGTTTAACAACCTTGGGTATTAACAACACCATCTGTAAAAGAAGTCATTATGATTATTATTAGGGTTGGCTATACGGTCCGGTCCGGTTAAATTGGCCCAAATTGATCCGGTCCAGTCCGGTCTTTTCGAAAATATAAGGACCAAAAATTGGATTGGATACAGTCCGGTCTTGACCCGGTCCGGTCCCAATTCGGTCTTGATTTTATATTGAGCTTGTGGGGATTTGAGTGACCTAAGGCCTGAAAGGGTGAGGAGTTGGTTAAGTTTTGTACTAAGTGCAAATGTTTGTGACCGTTTATGCTAATTACTCTTAAATTTTTGGGTATTGAACTCTCTTAACCGGTTTTTATCCAATTTTTGATCCGGTCCCAAACGGTTTTTTTTTTACCTCAAATCTAAGCCCAAAAATTGGATTGGATTGTTTACTATCCGGTCCTGATCCGGTCTCAGTCCGAGTTATACGATCCGGGTTCGGGTAAAACCAAAAAAACCCAGACCAAATTGCCGGCCCTAATTATTATTGTTGCTAATTGAATGTTGGGCGCTCTGAATCCGTTGGATGAATACTTGACATCTTATTTACAAAAAAATCATTATCACATTCATTCAATGACCATGAAGGGTTCAATGCTCGATCAATCGACTCGCAAATATTGTAAGAACCTCCTTATAAATAGTATTGTAAGCACCTTAATTGTGTTGAACCATCCTCACAAATGGTAGGGTGAGACTTTATTCTATGATTACTGGGGTGTTCATCCATGCTTAATAAACATGAGCATGCTTGTTGGGGAGCTGTCATTTTCTTCTCTGCACAACCCCAATTAAGGGATGAATTGCACATAAAGAGAAGACAATAGGGTGTGGAAGTCAGATATTAAGAGGTAAAACCATAATTTAAATCGTGCATTAATTAATTCATCTTTTCATAACCCCCCAACTTCCTATTCTTCTCAACTTGACACATTGGATTATCAAGAACGTGACACATTGATGAAAATTATTTAAACTAATTTTCTGACTTTCCATGGAGTAGGCATAAAACCTTAGTAATATTTTAAGAGCAATTGCTTTAAGCAAAACGCCCCAAAAACAAGGTTGGCAATGAGGATATAGATTATGGACATACAGCCAGCTAGGCAGCTACAATTACCTTTTGGTGAATTTTTTAATTATGGGTTGAATGTGAAAACTCGTGCTAAGTGTTAAAATGCCTTAAGATAATAGAATAATTATGGATAAAGACATCTGGTTAAGGAGATAAACACTACATGTGATCTCATTATGCTTTGATAATTATGTTTTAGTCACAAAAACACTAGTCTCTTTGTGGACACATAAAGAGGATTACAAGCATCCCGTGCTACCATATACTAACCAAATTCTGGTGTCTAAATAGGGTTACAACTTACAAGCATGTGTCACTTTCTCTCTAGTTCTGAATCCATAATCCAATTCCGAATAACCGAACTTGTAACTAATATTGCTAGTCTCCGATATCGATTTCACAATCATCGATTCTCTTTATCGGCTTAAAACGATACCCGAGGAAACTAATCTAAACAACCAATGGTACCAGAAATTTTGCAGCAGTAGCTACCTAGTTTCCCATACTATGTTCACATCTAACCCTACAAAAGGTAGAACATCCCTAACGCGCAATAAATCAACTCGGCATCCTCGAATCACTAGTGATCTTCAACCTGCTTAAGATTCCATTAATAACCTTATGATGCTGATCCGCAGGGCAGACCGAATCATCGACGAAAGAATAAGTCTTTACCGGTTTCTGCATCGTCCCTCCAGAGCATGCCATATGAGTAGTAGTTGCCTCAGCCGTCTTTCCAACTTGTCCAGACGAACTGGTAAGCTGCTGCAAATTAATAGTAGCATTCTCCTCATCATTCCTCGTAGACTCCTCTTTCTTGCCTCCAGTTTCCTCGTTCTGACTCCCATACCAGGTATCGAGAATCTCTAGCAACGAGCTGTTTTCTTCATTGGACTTCGTACAGTTTTGTTCAGGTTGACTGCTGCTTGAAGCAGCCAGAGTCTCGGGTTCTGAATCAGATTCCACATCATCATTATCGTCTTCAGACAGGCAAGGCTCGTAATCAGGATCCTTTTGGGATGATGAGTTGGCGTCCGGAGGACCGAGCTCATCCCACGCAGAATCTGATTCGTTTTCCTTCTTCGCTGATTCACCATCAGAGTTAGACTTTAGGGTTTTGGTAGACGGAAGGATGTAAGTAGATTCGACTTTCACTCCTGGCATTATTTCCAGTAAAGCCGCCAACTTTTGGTACCCGAGCTTCTGGATGTCAAGATGGTAACCATACCTTTCTAGGAACAACTTTCGGAAAGCACCAATGTTGTAACCATAGGGGTATTTCTTCACCATTTCCTGCACAAGGTTCCTGCAGTCCATCAGTATCTCACTTCTAGATCGATCAGAGGATTTCGTGTTAGCAATGGGGGGCGTAACACCAGTATGAGAAACACCATGTTGCCTTTCTTTCAGAAACAAAGACCTCAATCCACTGGATCCCTGAGAAGTGGCCCGGGCTGCATTATCCCTAGATAGAGTGACCTTAAAAAGGGAAGATCCGGAGGGACATTCATCCACCCATTTCTTTTGTGATATCAAGATGTCTACCAACAGAAGTAGGTCAGGTTCTTTGAGAGATTTCAGAAGCAAAGGTCCTTCCTTTTGCAGATTCGATGCCATCTGTTCCCTGGGAAATTGAAATTGAAAAACAGGATAATCAGCATTGAGAAAGATAGTAATGACGGCGAGTCCTTCTGATGTGTACCAAAAGAATTGTTAAACACTAAAAAAGTTGTGTTCCGATTCCGGGTTTACTGTCTTAATGACCATCAAACATCCAGTTTGTAAAAAACGGTCACTAAATTAAAAATTGGCACAAAATACAAACTAAACTAAATGATTTATAACAACCAAAGACTCTGCCACATTCAGGTAAACTGTCGCTAATTAAGTGGCGTGAGGATCCAAATAAGCTCTGTCTATCATCCAAATCACCTAATCAGGACCTCGTGCACCCACCATGACTCAACCCTTTCCAACTCAAGGATGATTTGAATCGCTGGCTCACTGTTCGCTCAAGGGTTGAAAGTCAGTTTTGTAAGTTGGAAAGGGTTGAGCCAAGTGGGTGCATGGGGGGCTGGTCAGTTCATTTTTGGGCCATGACAAGTCTATTTAGCACGTTACTCAACCAAACCCACAAAGTACTAGACCGAGGGGCTGTTTTGCTACAAATTACTTAATTGAGCAAGCATTTTAACATTATTTTTAGTTTAGAGACCATTTTCGATTGGAGATCACCAATATGAAAAAAAAAAAAAGGGAACATAAGTTCATACTTCATACCACCCACAACTTAAAATCATCATCTAGGAAGGAGAGACACGTAAAAGCAAGTCAAAACCACGAACCTTGTCCTGGATTCTGTTATAGCTAGCGACCCCTTCTGTGTCCTAACAAAGGACTCCATAACCCTCCAGAACGCGTCCTTAGAAAAGACCTGATGGTCTTTCATGTCCACAATTCTCTGATCAAGGACTTTGCTGGGTTGATCGTGTACAGATTCTACACGGCTTCCCCTAGACTTCCACCAGTTCTTAATCCGACTAAACAAACCTGTATTTCTGCTCAAGTCTTCACTAGACACAGCTGAATTGCTGTTGCTTTCACTTGCCGGGCTTTGAGTAGATACTTCTAACTTTCTGCTAGGCAATTCATGGTTCTTTTCATCAACTTCGTCTCTTCCAAGCTTGTTAGTGGAAGTTTTTTCTAGAGAGTCATCAGTTCCCTTCTCAGAGCTTCCATACAAAAAATTTCGAAGAGTCCCGACAAATCCCATGTCAGGCTCTTCATTCTTCACTACAGATGACTGCTTATCTGTTTCCTGTCCATTAGCCTTCTCCAAGACCTTTTCACTAACAGGAAAGTTGCATTCCTTGCCATGAACATCCACTTCCAAAGCTCTGACATTTGGCTCCGATGAGGTCAATGGTGGCAAATTCTTCTCAGCTACACCGTCGGTATCCATCTTCGAAGAGCCAGAAGGAACCGGCTTCACGTTATTATGTATATCAGTAGCTGTGGTAACTAGAGTTCCAGATGGATCATGAGCTCTGCCAGGAACAGCTCGCACGAGAAACCTACCCTCCCCCTTGTTTTGAAGCTTCAACACTTGTGGCATAGCCAAGAGAAATAGGGAGAACTTCTTATGGCCATAAAATTCCTTATCGACTGCCAAATTGCTAGTCATCAACTCGGCTCGAAGGTCAGTTATTTTGATACCTTCAGGGTGCGAGTTCAAAATCTGTTGAATCTGCTTCATCACTGCTTTTGGTATGGGGCGAATAGAATCTACACGCTCCTCGTCGACCTTGGGAGAAACTGGCGGTGGTGATGGTGCTGGTGTAGGCTCAGGAACTGCGAATGGATCTTCTAAGGGTAACTTATAATGACCATACCATGAGCCTTTAGGACCATCAGGAGGTTGATTGAAATACTTCCCCGCCAAGTTCTCGCCCTTCAGTAGATCGTTCCAGTGCCACATGATGCTTGCAGCACTGCATAGAACGGCCGGCGCACCTTCTTTAGCTGCAAGCAAGATGTTGTAGTTGTTCATCCTCAGCCTGTGCAAACAACTCGCGAAATCTCTGTCACTGGAGATGAGGAACAAATGGGCTGGGGGTGGATTTTGGGATACCCAGTCCATTAGACCCACGATAAGAGACTTGTCTGCACTGTTCTTCCCTCCTGCAACAATGTGAATGAAAAAAAAGAAAAAGAAAATAACTCAGAACCGTTTGTTAATTATGCAATCCTTGAGAAAGCATGTCAGCAAAAATTCACATACTCTGACGTTCTAACAATCTTCCAACTGCATATCCTTACAATCACTTGATCTAATATATAAGTCCACTTACTTCAAACCCATACATTCTCAAATGCACAGATTTTTCCTATCCAATAACAATCATAGATTCCAAAAACCACCACACCTTAATTCTCTTCCAAAATCAAGCAAAACATTAATCCAATGCATACACAACTCAATCTCTATACATTTCCCAATACATCAAATTTTCTACATCAACAACAAAGGTTTAATCTTTAGAATCATCAGCAGCAACCCAGATGAGCAATGCGGGATAAAAATGAAGAACAGAGAGCGAGAGAGAGAGAGAGAGAGAGAGAGAGAGAGAGAGAGAGAGAGAGAGAGAGAGAGAGAGAGAGAGAGAGAAGGGGAAATGCCATTGGGGACGTGAGCCATGTTGATTCCAGTGGAGGAAAGAGCTTCCTGGTTCGCCCTAGAAAGCTGGAAGACGTCTCCGTACGCCGTGATGTGAACGGGACCTTTGATCCCGTTGGCCCGAACCGCAGCCGTGATGGTCTGCGCCACTCTGAACACATTGACCCCAGCCGGCAAATTGCAATTCTCGAAATCCCACCACACCGCGACACTCACGGACCTCGAATCCTCCTCCTGCTGCAGCCTCCACGACTGGTAAGGCTGGAATTGATACGGAGACGAGGTGGAGAAGTAGGAAACGAGGACGGATTGCGAGAGGGTTTTGGGGGGAAAGAGGGGAACTTTCTTCACGATCATGGCGGATTCTGGGTTTGTTTTGAGGTTTCCGCAGGAGCTTGAAGGTGGGTGTGGTCAGAGTGTAAAGTGAAGGTGGAAAAAAGGGCTGCTGCTAGTTCGCCATTTTAGGTCGGTGAGAAGAAGTATGCTGCCGGAGGTGGGGATGAGTTCCTTCCTCCTCCTTTGGAGAAGGGAATGTTGCAGCAGAGAAGAGAAACGAAAAACCCTTGGTAAAGCCCTAGTGCGTGAGATGCACGCGTGATGGAAATTGAATTGGGCTGGCCTGAACTAAGATTGGGCGCAGAAGAGAATTGTGTTTGGAAGTTTGGGCTTGAGAAGCAGTTGAGCTCGGCCCAGTAAGGGGGGTTTTAATCTGTTGTTATTGGGCTGGCCTGGGTAGTGCATGTGGTTTAGGAATTAGTTTCTGACTCTGTTTTTTTTAGAGTGACTGTCTCATTTGATAATTTTAACATCAGAATTTTTTTTAGCAAGATATTGTTCGCTTTGGGCCTCGACTCTTACGGTTTTCGACTTTGAGTGCAATTCAAGGTGACTTCCCATAAGATCACCCATCATTGTTGTACTCCACACCGAGCACGTTTAACTTCGGAGTTCTCACAAGAACTCTTCCATTTCACCCCAAAACGCGTCTTGTCAGTTAAGGTCGGTTTCCTACTTATGAACCATGGATCTCTCCCGTGCTTTGTCGATGTGGGATTCGCCTAAGGTGTTAAATACACCCCCTTGGGACTCAACGCCCTCGTTGCCCCACCATCGTTCAAGAGGGACGCGGAGAGGCTCTGATACCACTTGTAACATCCTGAACCTTTTTCTGAGCAAGATATTGTCAGCTTTGGGCCTCGACCCTCACGGTTTTCGACTTGGGGTGCAATTCAAGGTGACTTCTCATAAGGTCACCCATCATTGTTGTACTCCACATCGAGCACGTTTAACTTCGGAGTTCTCAAAAGAACTCTTCCATTTCACCCCAAAACGCGTCTTGTCAGTTAAGGCAGGTTTCCTACTTATGAACCATGGATCTCTCCCGTGCTTTGTCGATGTGGGATTCGCCTAAGGTGTTACAATAATGACAAGGTATGAGTTTTTTTTTTGGATGTAAGTACATGTTTGATACAAAGAGTGTTGTCATCTTTGTGGATGTAACCTAATTCGAACATAATCAAAGTGTCCTTCAAAGAACTCGTGTTGTTGGTAGAGGTCCATATATGGGTTTTAACCACTTCTTACAAGCCTTCTCAAACGAAAACCAACTCATTAACTTGAAGTTTGCGTAGGCTATATCATACCATGTGCTTTAATACGTGAGCTCAAGTACAAATAAGTTCGGATACAGCCGATCCCAATTACTCGGGTGATGGAAAGATTTCCATGTATAAATCTGAACCATTTCCTCCCACGAACAAATCCTAAATAAATCAAACTTGTGAATAGATTGATGAAGATATTTCTTTCTAGGCGATGTTCTCTTCATGATGTTGAACTCCCACCACATATCATTGTGTTAGAGAACTTCATCACGACTCAATTGGCCTAGTAAAGTGGCATTATCACTAGCTAATAAATCCTCCATACGAAAGCTTAGTCGTCAATGTTCGTGGTCATGGTTTGCTTTCATCACTTTGATGCTTTAGTAAGATTAAGAATGGTCCTGAGCCTTTGAGACTTTCACGACGTCGATCGAGTTTGGTTTCTCGACGTGGCGTGGTCGGAGGAACGACCGGCCGGCCCGCCGGCCAAAAGGAGACGATCCATCCTTTTCGCCGGAATGTTACGCGTTTACGTATATGTAACTAGCATGCATGTAACGTGCAGTTGAAAGAGAGATATACTCGAAAGAGAGAGTGATTGACGGCCCTATATAAAGTTGAAACTTCACCATCAATGTTCAATTCATCGCTTGGAAACAAAGTCATCAGTCGTCTCTCTCTTGACAACGATCGTGATCTCTTATGCAAAGACTTATTTTTATCCTTCTTTAAGGCCTCTTCCTATGATTCGTGGTGGAAAATCGACAAGGGATGATCAATGCGAATAATCAGTTGGTACCAATGGTACTCGAGTTGTTGTAAGAAGTTCAATAATATGAATCTTATACCATATATATACAAACATGCATTGTCAAACGGAAACCATGTATTATATATCTGAGCTCAAAATTTGTACGAATATGAAATGTCATGTGTTTAACAAATAAGGTCACGAGGATTCGAACATCGTGTTATAAACGCGCTGCTACGGATCGGGATATCGCCGGAATCGACAAAGCAAGAATACGAAAGCGAGAATCGAAAACACGACACACGATTTACGTGGTTCACTAACACGATATGTGTTAGCTACGTCCACGGGCGAGAGAAAGCCAGTTTTACTATATTGAGGAGATTACAGATTACAGAGGAGAATGAGAAGTATTTATAGTACTTCTCCATGTGGGTCTAAACCTAATCCAATATGGCAAAGAAAACGGTCTAAACAACGAGACCCCCGAATACCAGTCGTAGCGGCTGATAGTCCGATTCAAGTCACATCAACCCATCGGACTATTGATCATAGAAGACGCTATACCATGTCAAAAATAAATTGGACCCAAATCTCCAAATAATTTGAGTTGTTATAGAGATTTGATAATAAATTTTATACTGGTTTATGTCGACTAAGAAACCACAGTGTAGTGTACATATATGATTATATGTTATCATCGGTTTGCTTTGGAATGGCTTTCTTAGGGTCCATGCAAAAAGCTCACTTTAATTCTCTGGCTTAATAAACCCCTTGACCATGTCCGAGAAGACTTATTTACAACCCTGATATAGGGATAAGATTTCATCGCGGAAGGCTACTTTTAGCGACGAAAATCCGTCGCCAAAAGTCCCTTTATTGTAGTGTTATCCTTACTCCCTCACTTAGCCAAACCATGTCCAAGGGAAACAACCTACATAGGAGTTCTTGGTCCCAAATTCTTGGGGCCCGGGGAGGGGAGATTCTAGTCATTTGGAGATTAGCTTCAACTAAATCTTTTCGACTCTACACCTGATTTTCTCGACTCTCTCTTTTTGTAACAGTTCTTCCAGTTGACTTGACCGATCGATAAAAAGTTGAAATACTACACTTAAGCTTGGTTATTTTGAGTCTCTTGACATCTTCACAGAGCGAATAAAGTTTGCTTAAGTCCACAATAAAGTTGGCTTTCTTAGGGTCCATGCAAAAAGCTCACTTTAATTCTCTGGCTTAATAAACCCCTTGACCATGTCCGAGAAGACTTATTTACAACCCTGATATAGGGATAAGATTTCATCGCGGAAGGCTACTTTTAGCGACGAAAATCCGTCGCCAAAAGTCCCTTTATTGTAGTGTTATCCTTACTCCCTCACTTAGCCAAACCATGTCCAACGGAAACAACCTACATAGGAGTTCTTGGTCCCAAATTCTTGGGGCCCGGGGAGGGGAGATTCTAGTCATTTGGAGATTAGCTTCAACTAAATCTTTTCGACTCTACACCTGATTTTCTCGACTCTCTCTTTTTGTAACAGTTCTTCCAGTTGACTTGACCGATCGATAAAAAGTTGAAATACTACACTTAAGCTTGGTTATTTTGAGTCTCTTGACATCTTCACAGAGCGAATAAAGTTTGCTTAAGTCCACAATATGTCATAACCGGGGAGCTCAATTAGTACGATATTGTCCGCTTTGGGCCAAGCCCGCACGGATTTACTCTTGGGTATCCTCCCCAAAAGGCCTCGTACTAATTGGGCTAGGTGGACTCTAATATACAAGGGTCCCTTCCCTTGTATTACCGTTGTGGTACTTGGATTGTCCCATAACACAATACATTGTATTCGAATTAGGCATTGATATATGTGGTTATCAAGAACCATATATCTGACCTTTGCAACCTCTACGAGAACTTCCCTTTTAACTAGATATTTCTCAATAACTTGAGTCTTTTGAGTCAAACTATATATTTTTTTATATGGTATCATAATCTGGTTGATCAAGATGACTCAATTTTCAAAACTCAGCAAACATTAAAAGTTGATTATTTAAGAATAAAGATGGTTGCTCTATGTAAACGTTCAACCTCGTTTCTTTTAATTTAGAGGGACTCTGTAGGATGGCTCTGCTGCTATATAACACAACATAATAAGATTCACGTACACTTGTACCAGTGATTCGAGTCACTTATTAGGACGCACTATTACTTCGGACCAACAAAGATCGTAATATTATATTAAGTTCAAATATAGTATCCCAATAACGAAAACTCTGTACTATTTTCTCTCTGCAATGCGATAACTAGAATGGTTGGAAGAAATTCACACATTCGATATGATTTTCTTACAAAAAGCAAACCATGAAATGTTGCTGGCATGGTCCCCTAATTCATTGAGCAATTGCTTGAGTATCCAAAATTTCATAGTCCACACAACACAATGAATGCATTATGGTTTGATTTAAGGAAAGCAAGAGAAGACAAAGCACACAGGAAACATATTATAAACGGTGGTTGAATGATGAATCGTTACATAATGCACATAGTCAGAAACGTGCTTTGTCTAGCAGGAAGTCGCCGTTTGGTAATTTTCAACTCAATTAAGAAATCGGTTGGCGATGAAATCAATCATAGGAATTAATCACTTTCCGCAATTCTATGATTAAAATAGTAAAACACTAAAAATCTCATTTAACTTTTTCAATTCCATTAATACATATATACCACATTTCATCCATAATGTTAGCATTTCTAATATGCTATATAGTATTGGTGCTTTAATATACAACTTAAAGTTGTACCATAACATGAAATGTATAAGTTTAGATTGTACCATAAAAGAATTTGTATCATTATGTTATGATACAACTTTACAACTTGAAGTTGTACCATCACATAAAGGTACAAGTTCAAGTTGTACCATAAAAGAATTTGTGCAAACAGTATAGGTATAATCCAAAGTTGTACCATAACGTTAAATGTACAATTTCAAGTTGTACCATAAAGGCAA